GTAGTTTATCAGTTCACCTGCAGTTGCGGTGATGTTTACTTAGGCAAGACTAACCGTCGGTTGGCTCAGAGGGTGGCTGAGCACTTGCCACACTGGGTCGAACAACTGATGGTGCAACAGAGGGTGACGCTCCACAGAGCGTATCGAAGTCCGTCATCATATATCGCCAAACACCTCTTGACAACTGGTCACCATGTGAACCCGAATAATGCGTTCAAATTGTTATTACGTAACAGGAACCCGATAATGTTGGCAATCAACGAAGCCTTACTGATTAGCGGTTATCAACCTGCGTTATGTGTACAGAAATTTTTGAGGCAATCAATCAGATTGTCTTGGTCTTGATTTTGACGGTTTAATTGGTGTGCTAATTTTTTCCCATGTATATATTTGTGTCCGTGTTTCTGCTTGTATTGTGTTTGCAACTGAGGAGAACAACCAAAATGTTGACATATCGCAGTCTGTCTCTTTCTGCTTTGGCGAAGTGGATGAAGCGGTCCAAATGTTTTCCTTGATATTTAAATCGTACCCCAGCAAGATTGTCGCCGATCGCTGCAGTCGATTGGCCTTATATACCGAAATTCCTTTCTTCGAGCTGAATATAGCAAGTAGCGGTTCGTGGTCCGTTAGTAGGGTGGAAGTGTCGGCCATATGGCATTTTCTTTTGGAATGCTTCACTGCATATAAAATAGCGAGAGCCTCCTCAATTTGGCTACTTTTTCTGATGCTGCCAGCGACTGGCTTTTCAGTCCCGTCTGGGAAAACGTGGGAGATGACCCCTCCAACTCCGTAGCTGGATACATCCGATGCTACTACAATTGACAGCTTTAGATCGTAGTGCGTTAGCATCAGTTCTGAGCTTAATGACGAAGGCTGTCGAAGTCCTCCTGCCATTCGGTAGTCCTGACCCACAAAACGTCCTTCCTCGGCAACCGGTTTAATGGTTCGCGTGGATTGTGCATGGACGGTAGGTAGGTACTAGGGTAACTCACCATACCCAGGGATGATCTCAGCGTCGTTATATCTTTACATGACGACATGTTCTTCATCCATTGTGGTCAATGATAAAGTCGATATATTTAATGGAGGTCATGAAAAACACACTTATCTATTCTTAAGCGAAATCTATAATCCTTTATCCTGTCAAGCACGTGTTCTGTTCGTTGGTGCAGTTCCTCCTGGTTAGATCCCATGATAATGACATCGTCCAAGTGTGTAGCGGCATATGGTATTCTTTGTAGCTTCGTATAAATCATCTGCTGTAAGGGTCCTGGAGACGACTTGACGCCAAATGGTTAGCGTGTGTATTGGAATAATCATCTGTGAGTGTTAGTCGTTAGCAACTGACGCAGTTTTCCCGACATTTCAATCTGGTGATATGCGTCTGATAAGTCTAGTTTGGCAAAATACTTGCCACTTCAGTCATGCACAAAGGTCTTCAGGGAGGGGTAGAGGGTACTTGTGGTCTTCTAAAGCAGCATTCAGACCTGTAGAATAATCTTTGGGTTTGGTTTTTTGACAATCACAATGGCTGTTGTCCATAAAGAGTAGTCGGTTTGTTTAATAACTCCGGCTGACTGTAGCCTGTCAAGTTCTTGGTCGATGATTGAAATCACAGCATATGGAACCGGTCGCTTCGGTCGGAAAACTGGCTTTACCTCTGGCCTTGATTTTCGTGCACAGACCCAGACCATCCTGAAACACCTGCGGACCTTTCCTTTGTAGAATCTTCGTTAAATTCACAGGTACGTCGCTTAATTTGTTACACACGGAATTCAGAGGAATATCCAGCAGGTTCGTATTGTCAATCCAGTAGGTCCAGATCTGGGTGCCTTGGTACTTAGCAAACTCCTTTGGTAGTCTTTGAACATTACAGAGCAATAAATTTCACCAACAAGGTTCAGCACTCCTCCTGAAGCATTGGTTGCAGCGCGCGTTGTTTCCAGCACAGATAGTCCACCAATCTTCTTCCAGGTTGTTTCGGAAATGACCGTGATATCAGAGGCAGTATCAACTTGTAGGCGCACAAGCACTTGATTCACACTTACTGTAGCAAACCTACTGCGTTTTGCGGCCCCCTCATCGAAAGTAACAAAAACAGGATAAAGCTAGGATCGTCTTTTGGGTGAGGAATTTGGTGCGAACTTCCTGGAATAACTGATAGAAACGCTTGTTGATAGGAAGATGGCGGTGCTCCTCCTTATGACCCAGTCTGTTGCATTTCTGATAGATGCTTTTTGAATGAACAGGCTAACGATGTGCCGTTTCCCATATTGCCAGCATGTGCATGGTGACCCACTTTGCTTCAATGCTTCGAAACGTTCGTTGAACTTTCGCGTTGGTTTGACACCGCCAGCACATCTACGGGGCATGGACTGGGGCCTTGGGCAATCAGGTTCTTGTCATGTTTCAAATTGGTGAGCCTCTGACACTCAGAAGTGATGGACATGAGATTGATAGACGGATTCTTCCAAATCTTATTAACTAATCTAATTCGTATTTACATCCTCGGGCGGTCGGAGACCACAAACCAAAATCAGCGCCTTATACTGATCATCCGTCATCTCCTACAGCTTGAATCCCCCGCAATGACGCGTAAGAAACAAAATTGTCCGACTCACTTTTAACCAGCTCCATGCAACTGTACCGGACGCTGAACAAAGAAGACTGTTCACCATAAACCTCGTTTAGCAATTATCCAACTTGATCGAATGTCCAATCTTTGGGGCATTTAGCCAAAATAAAATGTAGAAACTTTTCATGTTAAAAGTTGGAGAACCTGCTGTGTGTTTGGATTGCGACGCGCAACTTCTATTGAGACTTCGGTTCACTTTGAGGTAGACTTCTGTCATTCCGATCACAAGAACTGTAGCCAAAATGAAAATGTTTTGGTGTTGCTCCTCCAAACATTGCCAATCTGGGGAGGAGCAACACCGAAACTTCTCGTGTTCTTTGGTCCCCAGTTTCCGTAAAAGCAGCCTGCACTTCCATCCGTCATTAGAATCAGCGAAATCCGAGCGGAAAACGTCTTCTTATATTCCGAACCAAGATTCGAAGGTTGAACCTGCATCCGGGTCGTGCTGAAACTCGCAAACGCGGCTTGAGATGGCATCCACGGAAGCCTGCTGCTTTTCTTTGCTTTGTCTTGTTTGCACCGCAATACGCTGAAAGATATTCTTGAGTAATCGTGTGTGGCTTTCTTCAAATTGCTTCTGTTGATGTTAAAGTATTGCAGCAAGCTGCTCCACTGAAAACGTTATTTTCCTTGTTTTTCAATCAAAATGTCGAAATGTTTTGTACAAAATAAATTGCAGGGATTGCGAAAATCACTGTGGACAAATAGAAAGGAAGCTATTAACAGTGATACGGGAACACACAAGGGCGTGCGCGAAACCTTGCTACCTCACTCGTTTCAGCACAAGTTGATGAAGAAGGAGAGTTTAGAGTGGAATAAAATAGAGATCCTGACCTAGGGAGAAACGCAAAAATGAGGGAGTTTCTCGTAGCCTGGTTCGCAACCATGCATTCAATCAACATTCATGTCGACATCGATCCAGTTTACCAATCAATGTGACAGGGAGTTCAGCAAGGTTAGAAAAACACAGTTCTAAAGAACTCATTCCACCGCGGACAGTGAACACAATATTGAATGTGAGCTCGTAATGCTGACTTACGTCCATTGCACCAATCCAGGCACAAAGTTCACAACCACATCGCAACAATATTTGCTTAACCAATGGTAGTGACCCGAGCACAGAGGTAGAACAAGTCCGACTTAACGGCGTCAAACGCCTGTACATGGTGTAGAGTGATGATGTCCGTCATTTGGTTTGCTTTCCGGCGGGCCCTGCTATGAAGCTGCCATCACTTCTGCACTAATGATGTCACCTCGAATGGCGATGAAATGCCTGCAGTCTGGCTGCCTGACTCGGCGAACACTAAAACAACTGAGATGTTCTCTTGGACAGGAGCCTCTTAGTCGGTCACATTATTCTTAGAATAGTTATCCGACATGCCACAACCACTCAGCCTATCGATTTCAACTTTCTCTCTTTCATCCGATAATATTGGCTTTTTTGGCTTCATACAGGCAACTAACTAAACTAAACTATTACTGATTGGTCACCTGAAACTTATGAATATAGCGGTTTGTAGAAGTAGCATATCCGTAGAGTGTTAGGTGTAGGCATGTGTTCGAGAAGGTTCTTCGCAGCCGGCATCAGCCGTACTACCACCACATATGTGGGAACATACTAAAAAGACAGTTTCTCGGGAGAAAGGCAAATGGGTGTCACGAATTACCAAATGCGTCACTACTAACTGCACATTTGGCCCGTTTATGCACATTTGTAGGAATGTTCGTCAAAACACCAACTCTTTCGGTTTCGCTACCAAGTGGATTGCCTCCGCCTATATCTCGATGGGCATGAACTCCTCCCGGTTCGCCATTCGCTTTCCAATGACAGGGATTGTCAAGAACAGTGCTTCATTGTTGTAGGAAGCAATTGTCGTTTGTTTTGTTTTGTCGACCCGAGTGTATTGTTTCTGAATGCATCTCTGGAACAGTGTAGTAAAATGTGTTACTTTGCAGCCAAGCGCTGTTAATCTCTTTTGGCAATCGTCTTAAGAGGGCCTAATCCAGGTCTCATCCCTCCCTATTGGGTTGTCGTTATATTGTCACTGAAAGAGAGGAACAAAAGATATCGGTATGTGTAGACGCAGCTCCGATTTTCTTCCATTGCTTTTCTCATTGACGAATTCCTGCCCATAGATTAATTCGATCTTTCCTCTTCGAATGTCATTCAATGCTGCATCAATGGCTACTGTCAGGTATTTACTAAATTTACACAGACGTTTGGTGCTATAATTTCATGCTGTCATCCACCATACCAGGCCAAAGTGCATCAGTTAATGCCTGCACTATCTTCGAGCTTGCTGTGAGCGTTTTTCTATCGTTCATGTGTACTCAGTCCCGTTGACTTCATGATTTTGCTTTTTAGTGATGCTCAGGCATTTATGATGCATCTGGAAGATTTCAAAAAACCCATCGTCGCAGCTATCATGGGTAGTTGCCTTGGAGGCGGCCTAGAGCTGGCTTTGGCTTGTCACTATCGCATCGCGGTGGATTCCAAATCGACTGTACTTGGAGTTCCAGAGGTGAAACTCGGATTGTTGCCCGGCGCTGGTGGGACTCAGCGACTACTCTCCCTCTGTGCCGGCATCGATCAATCCCTGCAACAGATTTTGACTGGTTCGAATCTCTCAGCTCCAAGGGCGAAAAGAATGGGTCTCGTCCACCAAGTCATCCAACCTTTGGGTCCCGGCCTTTCAACTGCTTCTGCTACCACACTGGAGCACCTTGAGGAAGTCGCAGTTAGCACTGCTAGGTGAGTTTTATGGTATGCTGCCGATAATGCACCATCGCACGATCATGTACGCTCTTGCCTGAATCCCCGGCCAGTTGCGAAATGGATCAGGTACTTGACTTGTAATCTGCAAGTCACCGGTCCCAGCCTTCGGTGATGCGAACGACGTCATGCTATCCCAGCGACCGCTGGTAGTCGCGTCGCAGCAAAGATCAAATGCTACGTTCAGGAATACTGCTGATACCCTTTGGTCTTTTATTTAAAACCCATGTACAAATCATGTCGTTTTTGTTGGCTAAACTATGAAACCAACCGTTACCATTAGAAAACAATTTACCACACTATATTTCTCGCATTCATATGTAAATATCTGATCATTTGGCCTTCGAATCGTAATTCAAACGAGAAGTGACGGTGACAGAATTCGTGTTTCAACATGGTTACTTCCAAGCTACCTTGATAAGCAAAACCGGTTTGCGGCTGTTGCATATGCTTTCACATCCTTTACTTTCTCGAGTTTCTCAAATTATGCTTACTGGAACTTTCTCTTTATTTCAGGGATTTAGCCGAAGGAAAGTTGAAACGTCCGGTAGTCCAGCGCTCCATTCTTCAACGTGGGTTCATTTTAACCGGCGTTTTGTGTGTTGATTCTATGACTTATCACCACGAGCCGTCACTCTGCACTCACGATCTCTCTGGCTGTTTTTTTAACATGCGTGTTTTTCAACTGTCTTATGCCGTGCAATCTACCTCTCGTATGTGTATGATGCTTCTTGGATGCTGTTACTTCAGCTGGCCGCCTGTCGCGATGTTCATTTTCGTCCGCTTCACTTCGGATGATCGTTTTTTTCAGATATTGGCAGATTTTCATGATTCGCGCTGCTACAGTGCTTATACTTAATGGCAGTTTGGCGCAATATAAAAAGGGAGGAAAGTAGAAATCGAATAATTAACTGCTTTGGAAACCTAAAAATTTTTAGATTTGAGTTATAGATAGGGGGCCGATTTTCCCACCGCCCGATTATGTTCATATCACTTCTGTAACCGATCTCGAGGATTTCACTCAGGGTCCCATCTTTCTGTCTGATTATTCGTAACCATTTACTATGTGATGAACCAGCTACCCTTCCAATTTAATCGGTGAGGCGCGATATTGGCAGACAGTACACAATTGGATGAACATTTAACGCATTTGCACGGTTGATGCTCTTCCCAGCGTTTGTCATTCAAGGTCGTTGTTAAACGCTAACCAGCATACTTCGGCATTGCTCCTCCAATACCCTCACCGGATAGATCGATGCTAATCGGTGACGGAAAATCATGTGTGGGGGGCGGACTGTTGACATAGTTAACCTGAAGATGTCCATCTTCTGATTAGCTTCTATGCATTGGCCGTGTTGCGACTTATGATCTTCATCAGTCCACAGCCTGCTGTCGTGCTGCAGCGGTTGAGTGTTTTGAAGTACCATGATTTTGATCATTTCCCCTGCTATCGATCAGTTTTTGTGAGCGGCTCCACCACTTCATTCCATTCTGGGAACTATCACCACATGACTGATATTTCTCAGACTTCCGCGTATGTCCTCCTTAGACATCATGCCTTTTCACAACCCAAGCACAGAGACAAGATTGAGTGTTATTTTCAGCCAACCCATCTTGTTTTCCCCTCAAGTGCTTTCTCCTTTCGCTTGGTAACTAAGCCATCTTCCGTGTTTAGCCGATGTTACCTCCATAAAGCTCCTACTGCCACAGTATCTGAATGAATCCACTTTAACTATTGATCGTGTGCCTAGATTTCACTGTTCTTATGGAGCTTTCACTGCGCGTACCTTCCATTCTTTTAACATTATCAGGGACTTGGCCTCTTCACTAGCTATCCAAGGGTCCCTGGGATATATATGCTCGTTAGTGTTCAGTGCTCTGTACAATTTGCTTAATGCTTACATCAGACATTTCTGAGCTTTTTCACTATTGATCTTTGAGCTCAGGTGTGTAATCGAAGTCATCCAAATACCTCGATAAATGTTCCAAATGTAGTCAGATAGCTTGATTTCTCATCAAAATAGTACGCACCAAAAAGTGGAATAAGGAGCGACTCTCGTGAACATCCTGACCTATGCTAACACCGTCAGCATTCGTCTTGTATTGCCTGTATGCGCTATTCTCTTCTGTGTTTCGGGTCGATGTAAACGCTTAAATCACCAGATCGTCACTTAGCTCGTTCTGTCTGTTCATCGACCTTGGCCATGATACGCAAGTAAACAACCCATGTCTCCGAGAGGTTATTCTCTGACACCGCATGCGTTGGCTCGGCCACCTATTGCACATACCACCCTATCGCCTTCTTCATCGAGCGTTATTTGCGCTCACCGGAAGTGATTGAAAGAAGTGACGCGGTGGACACAACCAATGACGTAGAAAAAGAGCATGAAGAAGCGAACCTCAAGCTTAGCATCCGTCCGACCGGTCGGCTATCCAGGATGGGGACCACGCGACTCGGACTCCCAGTGGCTGGAAACATTAGGTGTTATGGCGTGCAACTGACATTAGTAGCGACATTGTTGTTCAACCGCATCATCTGTTAGTTAATGTCTAAACAAACGTAAAACTTCAAATACACAAAATGGCGTGTGTAGAACCAAAGACTCGTTTTTTTCTGCTATTGTACTTCATTTCCACTTTTTACCACGGTTCTAATGGCACATTGCCTGTTATCCGATAATATTTGCACCTATTTGACAAAGCCATGGTTGAAAGAGCTGATGCCAGATGAAATTGCTACCCGAAATGGACATAAGGTCTACCTACATCATCAGGACCTCGAGTCGGCGTCCTTCGCCGTGGTGGTTTTCACTGTGACACTGTCCTTCGGTTGCTGCTTCGAGCTCTCCCACATTTTGAGACAACTTTGTGTCGTATTACATTCCAACCTCGCGCAGTATTTTTAGACAGTACGTTGATATTAGCTGCTGAATCTAGTTGAAAACCCATTGGGTATCGCACTTTTGTCATCCATGATTTTCGACGTTGTCTGCTAAAAGCTTTCGCGTCTGTTGTTGGCTGTTATCGTCTACTTACTAGACTGCTGATTGGTACCAGCGAGCATTATGCTTTTTGCTCAGAACGTATCATGAAAGTCCGATCCCTTGTTAGACAGCTTTTTCCGTTTTCGACGTGTTTGGCCGCAAAATTGACAATAGTGCTCCTGTCCTTTACGTAATTGGGGCATTATTTTTCTGGCTCGACTTACTGCGCACAATACTTGTCAGTGTTCTCATGTGTTGAAGTTCCGGAGCTTCATTTATTCGCTAATGAAGTTGTCGATACCCAAGTGGGCATCGGGTAAGCCAATCATTTAATCCCGTTTGAAGAAGCCCGTCGAGTGGTCATGAATGTTGCAAGTTTGCGCCTAAATCTTCAATTTAGTGTTCTATGCTTCCGACAAACAACCATACAACCGATTCCGAACCCCACAGATTCGCGGCGCTTCGCAAAACTCAACGAACTTCCGGACTACACAACTCTTCTATACATGTTGTTTCCAGTACATTCATCTTCGTTTCTAATATATTTAATCATGGAAACGTGGTAACCTATAAGCTACGATCTTAACTGGACCGGCTTCACGAAGTCCGTTTACCCTGACTTCCACATGCTCTAGTTTTCCATCGGAGGTCTTTCTGTCATGCACTGGGGTTGACGATGAGAGCACTACTGGCTGTACACTCAAACCAATCGATGCTCTGAGCCTGCGTTTGCTTTCTGCCCCTAGTTGCTCGAGTCAATTCGGTTCTTTTATAGTACATGGTTCTACGTTCTGTTCGCACTCGACCTAGATCAATTCCTCACTACCCATCCAGCGTATATTGTTGTGATCGTTGATTCATCGACGAAACTGAAGTGTTTGGCTCTTTGTCAGCCAACCTATCGTTCATTCCGTTTGCCACAGTGACACGCGAGTTGTTGGTCTTCACGCATTCGCCATTTCCGCAACTCACTTGTGCAGGCATCATACAGTTGCAACGCTTTTAGCTGTTAGTGTGCACGTGGCGGGTGGGATTGGCGAAAGTGTTTTAATGGGTCGTGTTTATTCTAATAAGGAACATTCTCCAAGTGATTAACACATCGAAGTGTATTGTGTGCTTTTCAGGTATACTGCGGAAACTTCTGGCGATCGGATTGCTCCGCAGGGCATTTTTCTCACAAGTCAGAAAGCGAACAATGAAGCAGACACACGGTCTCTACCCGGCTCCTTTAAAAATCATTGATGTGGGTCCCTTTCTTGTGTGTTACACAATGATTACGTTGCATTACTTCATGTAAACATGTGCTTCCAGTTCTCGCTGATCCTCGCAGCACATCGATCGGTATTCACCGCCTTTTTAACAGCTGTTTGAAACTTCCGTCGCCGAAGGATCGAAGGTTGGCTACGAATTGGAGGCCAAGCTCTTTGGGGAATTGGCACTGACGAAAGAATGTAAAGCTCTGATTGGTCTATTTTTTGGCCACACAGAATGCAAAAAGCAACGCGTCCCCGCACCAAAAAACAAGGTAGAGTAAGTCGCACTCCAGCCTGGCATTCGGTTTAAGGTAACTGTACGTTTCACCGTCCATTTATCCTGTTGCTGCCCACTGCATTCTCCTTTCAATACAGCCGATAAAACAGGACCGAATCTGGATTTCTCGCCAAGTTCACTTTCCTGACAGCTCTGACCAGTGAGGACGTGATCCAGGAACCTGGCCTGTAATCTGGGTGCCATCAGTGCGGGCACTATCGCGAGCCACTGATGTGATGAGCAGTGGTTTACTGGTTCTGCCATAGCGTGATCAAACAAATCTATCATGTATTCAACATGCTGTATGACGCATTTGGCTAAGCTCAATGTATTCAGCTCTGTACCTTTTGTCATGAATCATTGTCCATCCGGTACATGTTCGGGCGTGTCAATCGACTGCATCGAGTTCACTATTAATTTCCTTTTTTCAGGCTCAACGCAGTCTTCTTCCTCCACGAGTTGACTTGTTGTTTAATTCACACACCATCATCGTCATCTATGTACGCTGGAAACACCCAGCTAATGTGCCGCAAATCACACTTCGTATTTCCTTTGTTTGGACTCGTGCGCTGTTCCATTCTTTTGTATATATTTGAGGCGGATGAGTTCACTCTGTCTTATCCCTTCTCTGATCAGGCGACTAGCTGTCCTCGGCGCCGGACTGATGGGCGCTGGCATCACACAAGTCAGTATACAGCACTGGATACCGACAATCATGAAAGACGTGTCCAGCTCTAGCTTGTCTCGGGGAGAGGAGCACATACATTCAAACTTTAGAAACTTGATTAAGCGAAAACGACTGACCGAATTGGAGTCGGACAAGGTGTGTGCACGCAGTTTCCAAATCTTTTCCATTGTTGAATAGATTTAATACCCACATTTTCATCAAAATGCTCACCCCATCGCCAGTTTGCATGCTATGCACTAGTGTTGGCTTTTAAAACGTGCCTTTGTCCTCACAGAGCCCTAGCTGGCCTTTAGCCGATTCTCCTTTGGATATGTTCGCATTCTTCAGAGTTTTTTCTTGCCAGACTGAGAGGGATCTCTTGACCAATCCTGGGAAGTAGCGGCGAATATACACATTCTCCATTAATAGTGCTTAATACTATTCTCTTCACCAGTACAATCAATTCAGTTTCCCCTCTTCACCACTTCCTTCGTGTTTTGGTTCAAATCAACTGACTTCTTGTCACTGTCGTCATATTCTCTCAAACTGATTCCTTGGACAAACGCTTCATCTGGTTCTCGCCTCCTGTTATGTAGAGTTTTATAGGTAGATTATCTTATCGTACCACTGTTCCACGAGGTCCGAATAAGCTCCGATGGCCGTCACATCGTGGCACTTTTTAGCTACGCGTGGCTTGGTGGTCACCACCCCTCTGTGACTGCGTCCGCTTGCGAACCGAACATGTATCTCATAGTAGTTGCTCTTGTGAAATGAGAGCGCTGTGGTAGATGCGCAACAGATCTTTTGCTGCTGCACTAGACCGTTTGCTAAATGTCGACCCCATATGTTGGCCAGGTCATTTTCGCATGTCATACCTTCACCGCCTATCGATTGTATAGATGTTGGACCTTGTTGTGTGAGGCTCCAAAGCAGTCTGTTCATGACGTTACGAATGGACATGGCGAAGTTGACCGAAAGACTGGGTCGCGTGTGAGGACCTCATCGCTGGTCACATCAGCTACGTGATGCAGTCTAAAAGCGGCGCTCCCATAATCCTCTACGCTTGTTTCCAGTCATTTTATTTGAATATGATAACTCCTTTATGATTGGTTTGTGTTGGTTACTTTTCTTTGATATCTTCATCCTTATTGCTTACTACATGGCACAGGGAGCAACTATGAATGACTAAGTCCATTTAAATCCCTCCCATGGACCATAGTTGACTATCTGGACCCAAGTGAAACGCTTCAGAAATTCCACATTGCATTACACTGTTCTATGATGATTCGGTCTCGTTCAATCGCAACTCATTCACTGGGTTACATCAAGACGCAAGCCTGCCCTCGCATTATCGTGCCACCATTTTGTTTTGTGACCAACACAGCACAATCGTATTTATAGTCACAAATTACCCTTATCCAATCTGCTCGGTTTGTACTGTAAATCGCCAACTTTGAGTCTGCTACAAGAGGGATGTCTACTCCTCTGTCCACGCAGTAGGCTTCACTCGTTTGCGTTATCTTCCGACAACGAAACAAACCCGTTCCACAATTCGTTCGACTTACTGGGTCATTTGAATGCACGGTGTGTTAATAACACGTCTCTCGTGTGGCGTTTCTTGTCGTTTGACACCCGCTGCCTGTCACTGGACAACACTGAGATCAGTTGCTCCACCTCATTACGACTACCTATACCCCGGTGATCACCCTCATTGCTTGTAGCGTACGTCATTTCGCAAGGTATCACAAATGAAATTCCGGAAGTTGTCGATCGGAAAATGGCAACTGTTTACAAGGGATTTTGAATCCGCAGTCGAGAATGCGCAGAATCTGTATTTTTGGTGCTCAAGGGAGTATTCATACACTTAAATATGGGATGTCTAAGGGACAGCCATGGTGACTGGATACATGAATTTGTTGGCCCTCAGCTGCATGCCAAGGCATTAGAAGCAAAAATCCGCCTGCTGAAAATCTAGTTTATACATCGATTTTTATACCTAAATCAGTGTAATGGAATGCGACTAGCGAATATCAACTCGTAAATCCCGATTAGCTTCAATTGCACGAACCTCCAACTCGATTTAATTCTCCGGAACAAGCGACGTTGTAGGTGAATTGAATGGCATCGGATTGTTCGCTGCAAGCCATCTTGAACTGATTGCACGTCGAGATGTTTTTGAAGTCCACTTTTCATTACCGATGCACCTCTGGCTATTATATAGCCTCCTTTTTATTATTCCACGGTTTAGAGTAAGCCTCATTGATCCTATGCCTATTCAGACCGAACATTCTGTTCCTTGGTTTTCAGATGTCCTCCTTACTCCAAGTCACCCTTGACCCCAATGCCTTGCGCAACGTCGACATGGTCATCGAGGCCGTGTTCGAAGATTTGAATCTTAAGCACAATGTAGTCAAAGAATTTGAAGCAGTTTTACCACCGCATGCAATATTTGCCAGTAACACTTCTGCTCTACCAATTCATCGGATTGCGGAAGTGAGCAAAAGGCCAGACAAGGTTGGTTGTCTTTTGTGGATTTCGGTCGTTACGCGCCGTTCGCGGTGAACTTCACAAACAAAATTATTCGCTTGGTATCTGTAGCACCTTAGAATCTAGGGTTTTTGGACCACTTACCACCTGGTTCGAGTTTTCATTTTGTGTAGACGACCTATTTCTGCTTGGTGACCGTCTCGCACTTCACATGAACTACCGTTTTGCGAATACGTGCTTCCGGAACGGGCGACTCATTCAGCAAATATGATCCGGGAAAACGAACAACATATGTGACAACCTGCCTTTTCGGGTTGCACCCAAGAACAACGTTGAATTTAAACAAATAGCTTTGTTGAATCAGTTAAGCGAATGACCATATGACAGTTTGAAACTTAGCTGCACGTTGTCCACCAGTCAATGGAATCGTGCAAACTAGTGAATACTTGGTGCGACCAATCGCAGAATGTACTCCGTTTGCGTCCTATTGGTTATTTTATTTTTTTCTGTGGCCCAGTCTGCTCATAATGATTGGTTGCTCGTATCACAGACTATTTGAATTTGTCCTGAAGCAGCTATGGTACACAACCTGACAGTGATACACCCCGTTATCTAGTTCACGCACCTTCCGGATCAACACGTTAGTAATTACATGTGCGGGTTTTTGCTGCGTCTGATGGCGCTGTGAGCAGTGAATGTGTTACCCATTCTCACTGGAGAAACGTCACTTGATGCTACCACACTGTTGTAGTAATGAGTGAAAATTTGTCTCCTTCCAGTTCATTGGTATGCACTACTTTTCCCCCGTGGATCGAATGGAGTTACTGGAAATAATCGTTACAGATAAAACGTCTCCGGATACGTTGTGTAAGTCTTGTTGACTGGCATTAAATAAACGCGCTGTTTCGCTTTGTGGTCATACGGACTTCACGTTTCTGTCCGTCATCTTCTGTAGCATCCGCGATGGACGTGGGACTTCGTCAGGGTAAAATTGTCATCGTCGTGAAAGACGGTCCTGGATTTTACACCACTCGCCTCCTCGGTCCAATGCTCTCTGAGGCCATTTTGATTCTTCAGGAAGGTGTTTCCCCATCGGAGCTGGACAAAGCGGTAAGAAGTTTTGGCTGGCCAGTCGGAATGGCGACGCTGGCGGACGAGGTTGGCATCGATGTGGCCTGTCATGTGGCCGACTCTTTGTCCGTCTCATTCCCAGCCAGGATGGTGGTGAGTGTCAGCATCTCGTCTCAGTTCACTTAAGTTTCGCTGCTGTAATTTGAGTAGTGAAATGCATCGGATTCATTTGCCTTGATTTGAGTCCTTTTTGTGCCATAATTTACAACTTGGTGTGAATAAAGCCAGTTTATGAAGATTTGATTAAGTTTGGCGCTGAGGTCACGAGAACTGGTGGTTTGAGACGGGGTTCAATCTCTGTGGCCTCACAAATGGCGTTTACACCACCCAGGCTATTTAGCCGTTGCGTCACGCTCTGCTGTCACAGCGTTGGACATTCACTTTTGAACTTCAACCAGGTGTGTGCGGCGTCGACAGATAACTCAAACCTGAACAACCATCGGTTAGCGTTCATTGTTCACCCTTTGGCACAACACTATGCAAATGAGCCTATTTTCAGTCATCTACCAAAGTGTTTCAGCACAACTTGTCTTCTGTCTTCACTAGTCCGGTTCGTTACATCCGTTTCTCTTTTTTGCTTTAAAAAGTACACTATTCCTCCTGATCTTTACCTTCGGACCGATCATGCTGGAGATAAACGCCTTGATTTCTACTATTTTGTACTAATGACTCGCCATTTGACAGTGATGTTAGCAGTTGGGACGCGATTCGCTCATTGATAGACCTTCACAGCACTGGACTGATTCCCATAGGATTATTTTTCACAGGTCATCGATAGCACGGCAGCGTATTTCTGAGGTAGTTGAGCTGCTTATTTTCTAGGCACTCTCACACATTGTCTCAGTGAATTCAGACGCAGCTGGTGTATTCCTCGAAGCCAATCCAATCATCCATATTCATTTAAGGACACTAAGGTTGGTCACAAAAGTTGCTTCTTTGCACGTGGTGTTCGAATCGCTGGAAGTCACCATGAGGATCCGTAAGGTCCATGTGCCTTCGGCTCTAAGATCATCTGCCGGGTGAGTGTGGTGGCTTATAAGTTCAGGCCAAAGCCACAAGAGACGAGCATTACTATAGAAATAATAAACATGGCCAATACGGATTGAGGCCACTAAGAAAGTGGTCGTCTTTGACCACCAGTGTCTGCGTCACACATCTGGTACCTGCGGGACCACCGAGTACACGAAGCGGATGTACTTTAGCTGATGTTTGACGGCGAAATTTGTCGCACAACCTGTTCTAATTAGGTTAACCCCTTACAACTCTCTGCCGCCTTCTGCAGTGCGTATGGTTAGCCAACCAACCAACTGCACTTAGCTAAGGAGAACTCATGGCAGTCAACGCACGACGCGGTTCATGTGCGCTTTCTGAGCTTCAGGCGGATGGCATAAAGGATTACACCGCTGCCTTGTAATCCAGAGGTCACTGATTCGAGCTTGCGTGGGGGGAAGGGGGGACTGGCCGACCCTTGCAGTATCCTTAGCCCACGCGCGACCGGTGGCATTTGCGTAACGGCCGAGCGTCGCTACGGCTTACCGACGTATAGCTGGTGCTTTTCGCCTAGCGATTGCACATATCCGTGACTTTCCCAGTGACGTCCTGTCCTTTCTGGTTGCTTTCTTATCCAATTAATGCTGATATCTTTGTTCCCATGGCAACAAGGTAACTGGACCATAGCTGACTAGCTGAAGCGAAGTGAACGCGATTCAGTAAACGCAACCAGGAGATTCTACTTTTCTAACAGTAATTTCATGCTCGTAATCATACGTCACTCGCTTTAAAATCCTATATCCACCATCCAGCAGTTTTTGACGCGAACTGTAGTCAACTCCGCTCCTGCCTCGCTGACAGCGTTTGACACCGGGCAACCACCAACCATAGCATATGGGCACATGACACTAGGCACCAGTTGCCTAGACGGAACGCGGGTACTTTTTATCCACACTTCAGCCGTGTGGATGTACTTCTTCGCGGCTTACCCAATCAGTTTACTGTCACGCCCCATGTGGGTGGCTTTTGAGACACTTACCGAGTACCAATCAGCGTAGTTCATGCGGGCCATCGCACCACGTTAATATTCAGTCTGGTCGCGATGGAGAAGACACGCACTCAAAGAGGCACTGGGTCCCCTCTCGCTTTTCGTCGACATCATCATCATCATCAGAATATCTCCTTTATGGTCAACTGTTTCCGCTAGTTCACCACCAAAGGGCCCCGGTAGTGCGTCCCATCCTTCTGCACTATGCACCAGGCTAATGTACGGTGGAAATGGTTGGCTACTCAGGACCCGACTTCTACACGAGATTATAATGTATATTGTGTAGAATAATAGCTATTTTAGCGTCGCAGGTTTTTAAAATAATTTTTCACCTCAAAATTTGAAAAGTAGTGAGGAGACGAAGTTCAATAAGTGCATGCATTTCGTAACCTCTCTTTCGTACCGATAACCGGAAGTTATATACAATTGTGAGGTGGTACAGACAAACTTACAAACAAAACAAAATATTGTCCCTACGTACATAGCTTTTGAACACAGACTTTTTGTTTGGTCCAGCTTATTGCAACAGCCTAGAGGAGACGGGAATCGGCATGTCGCAGCAGGACTTTGGATGGGGTGACCCGAAGTCGACATGTGTTTACCGAAGCTTTGTGTTCAAAAGCTATGGATGTAGAGACGACATTTCCGTTTATTTCATTTCGTTTATTTGTCTGTACCATCTGCGTTGTATATAATTTCCGGTTATCGGCACTGGAGAGAAGTTGCGAAATGCATGCACTTACCGAACTTCGTCTTCTCACTGTGCTTTACTGGTTTTTACTAGGAATCAAAAAGTAATGGGGTCTCAAGCTGATTTTTGCAATCAGCAGCAACCTAGAAGTGGCGAGTTCGACTATGCGCGTGTATCAAAAACAACTCAAAGTACTGGTTGTCCTGGTCAACTGTGCATGTGACAACTTCCCTGATTTATCTTGACAGTTTCAGTATGGACATGTCGTCACCACTCATGGCCACATCATCGCTGCTAACTTGTTCCTTGCTTTATTGTAGTCATTTGTTCTCTGGAGTAATCCTCTGAAATCGTGACGGAATTAGATGATTCGATTGCCATTCGTCGTGAGCTGACTCAAGTACCTCGTGCCGGTTATACCGATGTCGGCCCCTCGTTCAAAAATGGATCACCTGTAGTCGAACTTCTAATTTCAGGGGCCAATTGCATCTTTTCGCTGCTCTTTTATTAATAGCACAGTCTAGCGGTTAATCACAGACAAACGCATCAGGAGAAGCGAAGAAGGGCTCCTTTCGCTCTACCGAGACTTACCACACACCACCCTTGAGTTCACAACGACTGAGTCATGGATGACGATAAGGAGCCGGTACGTTCGACTCCGTGTGATTTGAGAACTGCACACTGCCGGACGAAACGGTTGCTCCCGTTACTGCTTCTTGAGGCCGATAGAGTGAGCTCGTCGTTTTGCATACGATTGCGGCATGAACGCTGTTCTTTTCAGCTCACATCGACGCGAACACCATACGCGCCTGACGACACAACCACGTGTATGAGGCGTAAACAGTTTGGTTATGAAACGCTGATCGAAGATGCCGCATTACTTTGTGCAGTTGAGCCTCACACATACTTTCTCGCACATCCACTCTGCAACAATAGCAAATGTTTATTCCGCTAAACACATCATGCCTATGCTTAATACCGTGGACCACGAACCGGTCGCGTAACTTGTTTAGGATACTTTGGAATGAGTCACAGCATAGCCTCTTGAGGTGTAACCAGCATGTTTTCACTGGCTTATGGTGATTAATAATTTTGGAGAAACCTGTCCATTCGACAACATCACCTTTGATGTTAAAAGGCGCTTGTCAATAACGCACTTGTTCGCACAACGCGAAGTTTATGACAATTTTGGTGTTATGCAACCCGGCGGAATCGTTATATGTCGGAGGATTTTCCCGTGTTGGCGGCTCTTTGTCTCCCAGTTTTATTGGCTTGTGAATTCTGATATCGATTCACGTATTATTCACGATTTGAGATGCATATTTCTGTGGATCGCTTCTGGATACCACGCATTTCCCTTTTATCAATCCACAAACTTCGCACTACAATTTTACCTTGCCAACTGTTGTACGTCTATGATGGAGTGTAAGGCACATCCGCAAGGTACTCCACGCAGCACCGGACATCTTCTCTTGCGCGAAATGTTTCTTAATCAGCTAAGGACTCATGATTTTGTAAGTATTTGAAAATGACTGTGATTGATAGTTCTTCATTAAAACACACTCCTCTATTATCTTATGTTTCTTCCTGACGTTAATTTATAGGGTGGAAACCTGCAGGTTCTACGGGACATGACCTCATCTGGAATGCTCGGGCGTAAATCTGGCAAAGGTCTCTTTGTATACACCAACAGTAAATCTAAAACTCGTCCCGAGAATAGCGATGCAATTGGGATACTAAAAAGGCACCGAATCGATCCGAAAACACCGAACACTCATGAACACATTCAGTACCGTTTATTTGCAAGATTCGTCAATGAAGCGGTTTTGTGTTTGCAAGAAGGAATCCTAATCAATGGTCCTGTTGAAGGTGATGTTGGTGCCGTCTTTGGACTCGGATTTCCCCCGAACCTGGGAGGTGAGCGTGGTGTTAAAATACACCCTGCTGTTTCATGTCGTGTTTAGATGATCGCGTCTAATCCACAGACTCAAAGAGTGTCACAGTTGGTGATTAAGAATCGCTAACGAGGAAAGCAGATCCCCGCAGTCTGTTCCTTGTACCCATTACTGCATCACATACGGACGTTCAAGCAATAATTGCGCAATGTTCCATGTACCTTACCTCATCAGAACGCTAAATCCTTTCACAATCTAGACCACTTTGATTCGAATCGACCCAACAACTTGTTTTCGTGCACTCTAGACGCTTAGATCCCTAAACATCAAACACTTTGTATTTCTTTTTACCTAAATCTATCCACCAATAATTATACTGTAGCACTGTACCGTTCCCGCGGGCTGCCAGTTTTTTGCTAACCTCATCAGTCAGAGGTACATGAGTACTGCAGTTCTTCTGCCTAGTCTGTGCATGTAGTCGGTAGCAGCACCCGTTAACAGTAGACTGCCTTGCAAGAACAGCCCTATGCATTCAAAACGTTTGCATTCAGACTCCCAATCCCAGCTAAATCAAAAGCCAAATACTTGATGTCGAAGCGTGTTGCAAGATCAGCTGCCTAAACGAATGCGAGTAGTGTGAAAACCAACGTGTGTTCATATGCCAACCCAAGATTGTTCAAGATCCGGAGCAACTAGATCAGTTGGCGAGATTTACAGCAAAGAAGTAGGTGTAGGTGACAAATCTTGTTTCCGGAACAACTCAGTGCTTCGACTATACATCATTAGGTCTATACATTTTCTTATAGAAATGGTGTTTTTCTAGGTTTTATTTCTTTCAGGCACTTCATTAACCAAATTCCCCCAAATGCGACTTAATATTTGGCTAGAAGACGGTAGAAAACAGGCTACTGACAACACTATCTCCCCTAATATCCTGGATTAAGCAGGTTGCTGACATACGTAGCACGTGTGCAAACCAAAGTAACTCGTCTAACCCCGCCTACTATCCGCCTATACACACCATCGTTTGCGGACGCGACGTGTGCATGAGACGCAGTCAAGGCACAATCTGATGTACATTCTCAGGGGCCACTTTCATATGAAAACCATTCAAAACCGCACGTCACAGATGATGAGGTGATATTATGTGTGATTACTCGACTCAGTGATTCTCGATTGTTGTTTCGAATAATTGGATCAACAGTGAAAAAATTGTGATTTGTGCATAATACATCGACTTCCCCTATTTATATTTTGCAAAGGCCCCTTTCGCTACCTCGACGTTCATGGAGCTTCTGGACTGGTTAAACGTATGGAAGAACTGTGCGAATTGTACGGGGACCAGTTCACACCATGTGCGCTACTCATGGACCATGCAAAAGATGAGAAAAAGAAATTCCACTCTCGCTAATTGACCAGACTGGCGCTACGAGCTTTTCTGCGAAGATCCCGGAGATGATTTAACCCCAACTTCATACGGAGAAACCCTCAGATACTCTCCGCTGCCCGGTAGTTTCCCTTCGCGAATGACGCGTCTCCGCGACACCGAAACATCTATGACCAATTTTCGTTTTTCAATACTTTTGCTCTGATTGTATTTTACACTGCTTTGATCCGCACTTCTTTTTATTGCCTGTTCATTTGATCACTTTGCGGAACATCTAATCTGGAAGAAATAGGTGGCGCATATCTATTCGTAATCTATTACGCCACTGAAAGAGGATACAGCGATCCAGATGCTCTTGCCGCTGGGAAGGTTATAATTATTGAGGAGAAATAAGCCCCATCAGCGAACGGTTCACATTGGCACCTGCATCGTGTATCACTCACGATTGTGAGTGGGAAGGTGGAGATCTTACATGGACCATCGCGTTTCTGCGACAGAAGACAACAAATTCAGATGAAGTGAATTGTTTACCATTGCCCGAAACCAACGTGTGGGGAACATCGAAAGGAGAAAATATCTGTCGGAGAGCGGAGACAATGGCTGCTGCGGTGGTTCTCACCATTGGAATCACCTCCGGCCATTTACTGTGGGCATCGACAACGATGAGAAAATGATGACCGTCAATTGGCCCTGCAAAGTCGACGTGTACCCTTGACCATGGTTTTGTTGATATTGGCCAGGATTGCCATTCCGTCTTCCTTGGCTGTTTAGATGCACTGTCACCTCGGGGACAATTCTTCGGTAAATTCTCGATCTGGGAATCCATATAAGGCCAAAGACGTAGCTTCGTACCAGTGATTTCATGCGATTCATTCCTCGGTGGCCAGTATGAAATTATCGGAAGACTCGCTCTTGAAGGATGAGAGGAATTACGACGCGATCTGAGAACAGCAGACAACTGATAGTGCTTTCTTTCGTTGGTGGAATTGTTGAAGCTCCGGCGTTGTAACTCTCTTAGGCCAGCCATTGATGTGGAAATGGATCACTTGTTGTAGGGTAGAATCATGATGGGTCGCTTCCTGCACCATTTTGAACGTTACTGGTAAGGAACCGAAAATGTCAGACACAACTTGATGTACTCGGGGTTCTACGGAGATTTGAGCAACTACCAAATCCTCTGCTTCTTGATGTTGTGTACCAATTAAACGAGATAACGCATCTGCTTGACCAATGTTGTGTGTAGATTGATATTTGACGAGGAAATCATATCCAAGTAGAACCGTTGCCCAGCGTTGGAGACGACTGGCCGTGCAGACTGGAATGCCTTTCTTTGATCCAAAGATTGAGACCAAGGGTTTGTGGTCAGTGATCAGCGTGAATTTTCGTCCATAGAGTATTTTGTGAAATCGCTTGGCTGCAAACACTATAGCCAATGGTTCTTTCTCGATCTGTCCATAGTTACGTTCCGCTGGGGTGAGTGATCTGGCTGCATGTTCCACAGCTTTCTCCGAACCATTGGGGAAAATATGGGATATGACTACTCCAATTCCGTTGTCTGACGCGTCAGCAGCAACTATGATCTGCAGCTCCGGATTGAAATGCGTTAGCAATGGGTCAGAACACAATATAGACTTCAAATTATCAAATGCGGCTTGACATACAGGAAACCACACAAATTTACGATCCTTTGCCAGAACTTTATTGAGCAGTCCTCGTAGCCGATGTATTTCGGGCACAAAAGAGCTGTAATGACTGATCAACCCCAAGAATGATCTGAGCTTCGCTACACTATCAGGGGGAGGCATCTGTTTTATGGCACTTATGTTGGGAGGATCCGGACGACGGCCATCCTTGTCGATGATGAAGCCAAGATACTTTACACACTTCATGCCGGTATTGCGCTTTTCTGCTTTCAAGTGAAAACCGTAATCGTTAACCGTCAGCTCTCGAAAGGTAGACCCTTTGATTATGATGTCGTCCAAGTAAGCTGCGACTCCTGATAACCAAGCTAACAAGGTATCCATAATTTGTTGAAAAATCGCGGGAGCTGATTTGACACCAAACGGCAAACGGTTGAACTGGTAAAGACCTCGGTGCGTATTGATTGACAGCAACTCCTTTGAAGCATCGTCGACTTCAATTTGAAGATAAGCATCTGATAAATCTAGCTTTGCAGAGTAAGCGCCACCACTGAGCTTAGCAAATAAATCTTCTGGGACTGGCAAAGGATACTGGTGCATTTTCAAAGCAGCATTCAATCTCGTAGAGTGGTCAGCACAGATACGAACGGCTCCATTGTTCTTCTTGACGACAACAATAGGTGCTGCCCACGCTGAATAGTTCACAGGTTGGATGACGCCGGCCCGCTCCAAACGATCAAGTTCCGTATCAACAATCGGAAGCGCAGCGTATGGTACCGGTCTTTTGGGTCGGAATACGGGTTTGGCACCGTCTTTGAGAGTAAGGCTTGCTTTGGTCTTTTTGCATCTTCCCAAGTCGTTGCAAAACACAGACGGGAATTTCCTTCGTAGCTGCTCGATCAGGTTGTTGTTTGGTTCGTCACCTTCCGAAGAGGGCCTCGTATACCCGAGCCGGAGGGTATTGCAGACTTGACTCGGGGGAATGTCGAACAGGTGGAGCTTCTGGATCCAGTACAGTCCAAGAAGATTCAAATGTGATAGGCCCGTAATATACACGACATCGTTTGCCAGAGCAGTGCCAAAAACCATTTCACACTGCAGCTCACCAATGAGATTAAGTTGACCTCCTGAAGCGTTAAGTGCAACATGTGTCGTTCGGCTGATTGACGAAGCACCAATATAATTCCAAATTTTGCTGGAGATAATTGTGATGCCCGAGGCTATATCTAGCTGAAGGTGAACTCTGATGTAATTTCTTCGAGCCAAATGTTCATCAGAATAGGCCGCTTGAACCGTACTATAGTTGCTGAATCTTTTGGGAACATTTGAATTCGGTCGCGTATGTCTAGCATGCTTGAACTGCAGTCTGGATCGGCAGTGCGTTTCCCTATGACTCCGTTTATGACACTGGTGGCAAACATGTTTCAGGAATGGACACGAACAAAATGCCACTCACCACATCTCCAACAGGCAGTCGGGGGTTTGGGAATCTCTCTGGGCTTTTCATGGCCTATTTCACTTGGAAGCGGTTTCTTTGAGGTGGCTTTTAATACACTAGGACTTATGGTTGATTGTTGCTCCTCCAGCCTAAGCATGTCATGCTTGAGGTTCAGCAATCGTTGGCATTCAGTGGTTATGGTCTGTAGAGTCATTTGCTGGTCTTGTTCAAGTTCACTCAGCAGCCTGGTGCGAATCTCTGCATCCTATGGGGAATGTAGACCACAGATAAAAATCAGGCATTTGAACTGATCTGCCGTGATGGATTTGATGTCGAATTCTCCGCACTCGCGATTGACGATGCCAGTGTAAGTGACGTAGTTATCAGCGTCCATCTTGGTGGTCTTCAGGCATTGATATCGCGTGTTGAAGATGGATGACTGCTCTCCAAATATTTGGCCCAAGCATCTGGCAGTCTCCTCAAAAGTGCAGTCTCGAGCGTTCTTAGGCAAAATCAAGTTGACATACCTGGAGTGCTCTGCTATTCCAAGTTTCCTTAACAGCAATCGGACTTTCTAATCGTCATCATGGTCTCCAAGTTCAACGCGGAACACATCTTCATAACGCTTGAACCAAGGTTCAAAGGTGAGGCCAGCATCAGGGTCGTACGAAAATTCGGTAATGCTGTTAGTGATGGCGTCTACCGATGCGGACGGCTTGACGGTTGTAGCCGGTGAATCGGTCTGGATTGAGAGTTAGCGCGTAAGAGTTTCGATCAGCCTGAGTTGGGATGCCTCAAATTGTGCTTGTTGCTGCAGCAGAATGGCCTTGAGCTCGTCAGCCGATATGGACAACATGATTAGGGTTCCATCCGTCGCCAGCTGAAGTGTTCGTCCCTCGCCTGAATGGACGCTTGATTCCCAATCAAACCCGAAGTCGCTGGTCCCCCACAGGACAGAGAGAAGACCAGATCGGACGAGCAGAGCAACAGGGATGTATTAGCGAACCACACCGTTCATTATAAAGGTGAAATGGAAAGTTCGTGAATGGTATTTAAAGCGAACATGGAAAGGTCAACTTACAACCAATAAAGGAACGCCGCCCTCGCGTTAATTGGCCGCTTCTCCCGGTTGGCTCTCTGTTCGCCCCAATCAGGCCGGATGAGTTTGGATCGCCTGCCGCGGCGATGGGATCGTGGCTTGTTCGCATCGCGTATTCCTTCCTAATATTATGAGGCTCAGATGATGACGCACTTAGAATCTTGATGCTTGATGCGATTCATAGGAACATTACACAACAACAAGAGCGGAGAGTTGGCCAGTTCCCCGTGCTTTCGATGTGTATGGTTAGAGCTATACGGAGGTGGTGTTACTAGCTATTCGCTTCACTTGCAGTCGTCTTCAAACGGCTTGATATACTGTGGAATGGAACTGCGCCTCACCTGGATGCCGCACCCAACATCGCATCGCGTGCTCGCTGCGTTGCCTGTGAGCTTGTCCAAAGGGATAAATCGGGGCAAATGACAAACGCGGGACAAGATAGCTTTATAGAAGCTCCCTCACGTGAACTCAATTACACTCCCTCGTACAACATACAAACCGGCCATATGTTAACGTTAATAGGGCATCAAGTGCTGATTTTATGTTGAACTGCGACGTTGGCATTTGCAATCGTCGGTGATGATCGGACAGAAGAACCTGCCTCCTTCGAGAAATCTTATCAGTTGAAGGGTAACATTCCTGATGGAAATTTCGGGTCGTTCTCCGAACTGGAAAGCTTGTAACGAAACTCTGTGAACTAAGGTCCCAGTTAGAAGAACTCAACCTGCCCATCTATAATCATGGCTACGAGTATTCACGAAGATGGACAATATTCTCGATACTTCTATCTCAATGTATAACGCTGAATAACGATGAAGGAATACAAATTATATGTAATTCAAGTATACAGTTATAGTACAGAATATGTATGAAAATAATCTGTTGCACAATATAGCAAAATGATCTAATCCTTTTTGTTCGAATCCTGCGTGGATGTCGTGGGTACCAGGCGCCTTAACATACGTCTGCGAACAAGTGTGCGACAGGAGGGGCATCGATGGTTTCCCTGAAATAAACGTAGCATAAAAAGCTATGTAAATTGCTCAACCAGCAGTGACGAATAAAGCAGCCAGATAGATAAAACTGCTCCGGTGATAACCCGGAGGTCTCCAGTCCTTTGGTAGCTAAAAGAACGTGTCAGTAGTAAGCATTATTACCGATAATGGTCGAATGCTGAACTTTCTAGTTGCTATTTACGCAATCACTATGAAAATCTCACACTGAAGCAGACCAGAAGCGAATGAACCGTTGGCAGGCGCAACTTCTTTCACCACGCATGTACTGTGGTCATGGAATGCCCTTCCAGTGGTAGACAGTTTTAGCTATCTCAGGCCTTGTTCAACAGACGACTCGATGTGATGCTCGCCTAGGAGCGTAATTTCTAGTGAATGACAAGAATAGGCGCCCCAATGGCTGAACTTCCTTTTCGTCGTACCCAGTACGCAGAGGTCGATCGCTGTGATCAACACGTCACTCGTCAACCACAACGTTCTAAGTTCCACTCTGTGCTACTGTGTCTCCGCCCAAAGAGGCCGAACAAAGACGATACCAGCCAGCTACGGAGTCCAGATTTGAGGACACAAGAACCAAGCCTTCCACTGTAGATGTGGTTCCAGTGATCTGAATGACTGATGCTCGGTATTAAGTCCAGCTTTAGATTATATGTCTCAATCCAAACACACGGTGGGTACTCCAAAACCCAGCAGTCAACTTCTAATCTAGTGCTCAAGGCTCAGCCACTACGTCCGGAGTTCCACTCTCGGCCATGACTACATTTGTCTTCGGAGGATGAAACCGGTCATGGATTGCAGTGTTGAAGGCGTGCGACACTGGAACGCTCCGCAAGTGAATATTGTGAGTTAGAACGTTTCTAAACAAATTAAGACAAGCGCATCCGCATCTGCTTTTATGCGAAAAATGGTTGGTAGTCCACGAATATTCATTCCACTTTGTTAGCATGTACATATTCGACTGTCATCTACTCATAATGACGACACACCGAGAGTGGTTAAGTACTTGTTTATTCATCAGTGATAGACACTGCTTTCATTGAGTATCAATTCCACAAGCCGCATGCACATGAGATGTCTTAAACCGAGGCGAAGTGAGTTACTAAATCCACACGAGCTTAAATGCGCTTTAATACCAGACCCTCATTGTAAATCTCAGCTGTCCACATCTAGTATCAATTGGGAACAAAACGACAGTACTAGTTGGATCCTGTTCGGATGGGATATGCTAGAGTATTTTTTTCAATCTCACCATGGGAGGATGTTGTTTTGGACTCTGAAAGTCGCTTCGCGTGTCTGTACACCGATTCGCTGCTCTATACAAAGAGAGCAACACGCTCTGATGTGTGAGAGTAGCCAGTATAGCTGACATCCTAAAACACATATCGAACAATTCATTGTTGGGACATGTAGTATTCGCCGTATCTAGATTGCGACACGCAATTTCCATTGAGGCCACGGTTCACTTTGAAGCAAATCCCTGTTTTTTCGATCACCAAAGCCACATCCGAAGTGGTGAGTTTCGGAGCTGGTCTCTCCCAGCATTGCACTCAACGATCGACCGGTTTCGTTCTGGTTTGTACTCGGAGCTGAGATGGTTACCCGACATATTGTGGTAAACGGCTTACGCTTTGGTTACTAGGCCAGAGCTCTGCGAACAGCGCTTGATACGGCGGTCATTGGGTCTTTGAATAACGTTTGTAACGTCAAACTCATCAATATCGTGCACTATGTGATCTTACGTAGAATCGCCGAGGGACAGGACCGCATGTTTGTCTAGCCCCATTCTAATTCCCCATCCTTGATGGCGAATGCCAGGTGAAAATGCCGTAAGCGTTTTACACAACAAAATACTCGAGGTCACGAATGCTTACCTCTTCAATCACAGTCCGCCAACAAGTGAAACAGGCCACATGTTTGCATGACGACACAAGTGGTGTCTGTGACGGATAAATGTGACATTTGCAACACGTCAATCGGCGCTCCGGTGACGACCCCGTTACACCGGGCGAAGGATCCGATTGTGGTTTCGCCACTATAAACGACAAAAAACAAAGATGTGTTGATGGTGGAAATAGGGTGGCGTTTAGCAATGGAAACAAGCGTTATTCTCGGTCATCATCTCACTAGGAGCCAAGTACTAACCTGTGGTTTTGGAAGCTACATAATTCTCACGCTCAGTGCACAATGCCAAAAAGATGGGTCTGTGAGCAGGAACGAGAAAGCATGACGCACCTGGAGGATAAAATGAGGAGAATCAGAAAGAGAACATTTAATGAGACCAGATCGCCAAAATAATCTAACTGAGTCCACGGAACTGACCTTGGAAAAGATGCGTTGTATCTGATCCCTCAAATAAGTAGGACAGTTTGGTGTGCAGCTTGCGTACACAGCCGTCTTGAGGATCTTCTGGTAAACTGATGTTTAATTTTGGTTCACTCGATTGATATTCTTTCAGTGCTTCCTTAAACTTGTGCAGGGAATCACGGTCCTGATTTCGTCGAAGAAAATAAGATTTCACCGCACACAAGTAGACAGCAGGATCGGTGAAAGATTGTGCGCCGGAGTCACTTATTTGGGCATAGTAATCAATTTTTAACCGCTTTGTCGATTTCGCTCGAACGAGTTTGGTTTCAAGATCTTTATCGTCTGTTGCATCAGTTTCATCGACCAAACTGTCTGTCTGTAGGATCAAAAAATAATGACGATTGAGTAGGGAACAGCGTGATGAAACAGTTGACTAGTGACATAATCGAAATGTAGGAGAACAAAGTGGCACTTAAAAACCAGGCGTGGCTCCCTCTCTCTTTCTACACCGTGCACTCCGCGACTAATCTTGGTTGCACAACTCAGACAGAGATAGTCGAACCCGGAGGGTAGAGATCGAGCTTCGCGGGCAACGCATTTCACGACGATCACTGACTCATTATTTTCCGGTCTCAACTACCCGATGTGCGGAATGATAGTAAAACCCGCGATTTATTTCCAAGTGAACATCAATACTTTCGGCCATTGAATGTGGAGACGTTCCAGGTAATATTTTCTCCCAACAAAGTACTCCACGACAGACTTCACCCTCAACTCGACTCTTAAAATGTTGAGGACTGCCGGTTGATGTTTTGCACAATCTGGGCAACTGCTTCATGAGAAGTGCTTACAAACCGTTTGTGAATTCACTGCTGGGTCTTAGAGTGCAACTCTTGTGTTTGGATTGTGATTTATTTCGAAACGTGCCGGAATCCATTCCAATAAATGACGGGAAAGTAGCGAAGGCAGTCAGGTTGGAACTGCCTAGCTTCGGATGTTTCCGCGGAAGTAGCATGCGATCTGGCGTCTCTCTTCTTTGAAAAAACCAACTAAGTAACAAATATATAAGAGTGGCAGTATCGGTAAGTGCATAGCGAACGGAATCTTCGTGCATATGACAGCCGTGAAAGCGGCGCCATCATCAGATGTCTGAATGGACACTTCCAGAAAGCCCTCTTTTTAGGTCATCACGGCCTGCGCTGACAGTTGGTTACAGATAAAGGGGAATATCAAGGCGTAAATATGAACCAAGTAATTCATTACGGGAAAAGAAGGAGCTGTGTACGCAGGAAAGCGGATAAAGATGGATGAGGAAAGAAAGACGAACACGGTGAACCTCACCCGATGGTTGGAATCCGTGGCCATCTCTATGCGCGCGAACACTGAGGTATCAGTCAGCTGATCTTCCATGGTGTCCGGACTGGTTGTTGAATTCAACGGGACATATTTAGCCAACAAGAGGTCGGTGTCAAATGTAGGTACCTTGAGGGCCAAGCTGGGAGTGAATGCTTGAGCCTGAGAAAATCGACAAAGACCACCTTAGGTAAAAATATGAGGTATTTAAACGGAGACGATGTAAACCGACTGGAGGCACGTTCGAAAGTATAAAACAGGTATATATATATATATATTTATATATAGTACCAATGGAAAAGCGAATTTAACAGATGCTGCTGATTAAGAAGTTGGTACGGATTTCACACCGCATGAACGGAAGTGGAAACTATAAACCGTATCATCGATATATACCGAATTACGGACTCTCTCAATATATACATTATTGAGTGTAATGGTGCGCAATTCACCGCTTTCTACTGCATGTCTACATGCGCGAGGAAGTGCATCGTGTAAATACTGACCTGTGCCCTTCATGGACGCAATTACTTGTCAGATCGAGAAAATAAATATATAAATACTTATTTATTCAATTCTACGGTGTTCCAATCCACCACTTTCCCTTTCCGATGCAAGGGCCCAAGCCATGAATAATGTCAAGGATCCGCCATAAATGTGACTCATCATCAACCTTCGTATGCTTTAGGCGCTCAGGGCCAGCTTCAGCACTTGGTCCGAAGAGATTGCCACTCGCCTTTTCATCTCATTAATACGACAAATGCTAGAGTATGGCTCTCCCGCGTATTGTCCTATCACCCGGGGTGAGGTAGAAAAAATTGAGCGAGTGCAGCATTTAGCCACCAGGCTGATTCCTAAGTTACGAGGTGTGCCGTATGAGGACCGGTGTAAGAAACTAGGGCTGTACATCCTAGCTTATCGTCGAATGCGGGTTGACCTCATCATGACGCACCGGATATTACATCTGGGAGATTATACCATGTTGAGACCGCTGCTTCATCTGCGCACACCAAGCAGCACACGAGGACAGCGGTACAAGCTTGTCGTACTGAATTTGAAGCGGGTCGCTCACCAACTCTGTTTCGGACGCAGAGTGGTGAATGCATGGAACGACCTGCCGCAGCACGTAGTTGAGGCAAAGTCGGTGTCGGAATTTAAGAAATCGCTGGACAAACACTTTACCGATATAAAATATGTTGAGCGCACCCCCAACATAACGTGTCTTTGTCCCTGAGTGATATTAGATGCAGCCACACATAGCAAACTTTACTTGCTGCTTCCAACCATTAATCGGTAATCATTGCAAAGTCCAAAAGGAACTTTGATGTATCCCCGAATTGGATTGCTTACTTGAAAACACTGTATCTCTACTCTTTAATTATCATGCTCATTTTACATTACTTTACTCTGTGTGCCACAACCGGTTACCATATTGTACATTTATTCCTTTCACTCTCGATCACTGACATCCTTGACGTTTTAAGGTCAACCATAGTATTCCGTTACTGTGACACTGCCCAAATACTCTCAAACTGCCGCAAACTTTACAATTTCTGCCCTCGCACTACGATTGCAAAACCTATTCGTAAGTCATGTATTGTATTTACTATGCATTATAGTACCACGGTTACAGGGTAATTCGTTTTAGTCTCCTGCCCAGAACGTGGGTTAAGTCTAGTTTTGTTAGTTCGTAGTTTCTAGTTTAAATTTCGTACGACGTACTTAGTTTAGGCTTCGTATCCATGGTACAATTATCATCAACAACAATACATCAGCCCTTTAAACTGATGCTTCGCTGCCATAAAACCATAACGACCAGGAAACCTTGTTGCACTAAGTAAACATTCAGGGTCAAAGCGCCTACACGTTGTCAACAACATGCCATCACAAACAGCTGAGTATCATGCAAAGGCGGCATCAGCGAGACGGCTTCCTTGCGCATTTCATTGCCCCGCGACATAATCAGCCATTAGCCAGCAGATAACTCAGCACCAAACACACTGTAAACAGGTAGCGCGATTAAGAGACGGAAGTAGACACGCCAGTGGTGCCGACTGCAAGCCATGTCCTGTAAAGTCTCTAGCCAAGTACAAGGCGAGCCACTTGGACTCCAGCCTGGAAGACAAGATGGACCTAAGGCACTAAGTTTGGTCGTCAGTGACTGTGATCACTACGATATAGCGTAGTCCATCCTTCACTGCCATTTAAGGCAAAAAAAAACTTGCCAAGAACAGAGTGAACTAGCAGGAGCTGTGACTTGCCTCGCCACAAGCTGCGACGGATTCGTCGCAACAAAACTCACATACACTAATAACGCATTTGGAAAGTGTGTGCGCGTCAAGTTTTAGAGGAAGAAATAATGCACTTCAAGTGAGAGATGACAGTAATACTACCAACCTCATTGGCTCGGGGAATATTTGACAGAACACAAGGTTTGGTTGGACGCGAACGCTTTCCTGAAAGATCACGTGAGCCATCCATCGGGAGGTTCTGCGAATCTTGGACATATTGCTTGAGTGGTGGGTGCTATAAGAGAGACAAAATTTCCAATCAGGCAAGCATGTGAATGAACCTCACACATGTAGTCTAGTTCAGCTCACTTTAACAATAGTGATGTAAGCAAGGCACCATCCACCTCGCCATAGAAAAACTAATAGTGTTATGAGTGGGGGGAAAGCTAAAGGAAATCCGGTTATACAATAATGGTGGATAAAACAAATAGGTACGAAAAGCAAGCGATTGGGTTCAAGGAAAACACCAGGAGGCTTTGGCCCATCGGCCGATTGATATCTGGAAAAGTACCCAGCCGTTGATGTGGCCGATTTAGAAACTACAGTCCAGAATGCACGCCAACTGTCATATTGTATGAAGGGCTGGACCGTATAGCATGCGTTGGTCGGCTAAGACGATGTTTGTAATAGCTGCGAATCCGTAGGAAAGTGTAAGTTTAATGTGTATTTGCGTAGATATAGGACGAGGGATAGCATTGTCCAGTTGCTCCTGCTGCTAACATATCCCTGGCCATTTTTAGCCATGAGACGACAAGCAGCGTTTTCCAGAAGATGATATCTCTGATTGCAAATGATCTGGCGCAATTATAGCTGACATTTGAGTGATGATACCGAAGATGATACGGTACAAACGAACGCAGAACCATGCAACTGGAAGTAAGTCATGAGTAGTAACTTTCCAAAAGCAATCTTACATTTTCTGTGAACGAACTGCGGTGACACAAGAACAGTCGGAACACGGAACATGACAAGAAAACATTTTCAATGATCAACACGCAGCAACGACCATTGAAAACACGGCAGTAAAGACTTACGAGAATTGCAGCGTCCTTGAAAAAGGCTGCAGTCGCAGTTATCAAATCGTTGTGTTCGGAGTAGACTCGCAAACTGGGCTGCATCCAGCGTGGCAGTTCAGCGCGAGCATTCATCGGAGCGAAGCGTTCATCACAAAGGAACACTGCTCCGAAGTCGCGGTTATGCCGGATAACACTGCAAAAAGAACGATGCGAGGCTGGAGAACATGGTATGCTGAACGCTCGGTTGTGTACTGATGCACGAATTGTAGAGAACGTCTGAATCGCAGGACAAAGTACACCGTGGACCGTCCATCATATGAAAATGAAGTGGCTCCTAATTGGCTCAATTGAGCAGACATAATCCCAGTACCGTGTAACTGAGTAGCAATCACGAGTAGCAATCATATTCGAATCTCAATTCACAAATAGCAGGATGCTCGTCGGTTAGATTATAAATGGTATATTCTTGTTTTTGGGGAGATGCCTGTGACGACATGTTCAGGCAAATAAAGCAATTCTAGTTCAACGAACACGAATGATCGAAAAATGTACAAAACAGTAGTGGAAATCGTTTTCCATTTTGATAGGGTAAAAAAGTTGTCTGTTGTTTCAGTGTGCTACATGAAGTTGCACAGGATGGCTATGTCGGGTTTGGTAGGTCTGTTGAAGATATTTATAAATACATGTATAAAGAAGATATCAATTCTCTTTTAGCACACTTTATGGCTGCTTTGTTCATGGCTATTTGGTAGTATCGAATACTGTTATTGGCACTCACATGAAACCAGAGCAACAGAGCAGCTAAACGTAGGAGTAACCTGCAACAAAAGTAGTAGAAAGATCCACAATGAACGCGAAGAATGTGGAGACGTGTCTGGTTGACTTCTTCCCTCATAGCACACTTGTTGATGTTAACTGCCGTTACCATAGGTAAGAAGGAGGAAGAAAGATGAAGACGGTGAGTATAGGGGGTCTTATTATTGCAATATTCACTCTTTGTTGTAGACTGGTTTCTGAATCATATAAATCCTGGACCTTGTTCGTACGCCTGGCTGTTTGTTATGTTACATCCCAATAGATGGATCACATTGCGCACGGTCAAGTATTTGCTGGTCATTTTCTGAAATTCCTGCTCTGAATTTCTGGCATAGATATCCGTTGGCAATTTTTTCCATAATCGTGCATTTCTGTTAAGGAAAATTTAGCCGATCTGGTAGTCTTCGACCTGCATTCAACTACCAAATGATCATTATTTCGTGCGATGTATGATGTTCCTTGTATTATTGCCATGTTCAAGTTGGAAAAAGGTATTTTCCTGTGCAAGATGTCATAGAATATGAGTAGGTTGTGCCTCATTCTCCACAACCAGATTGGAGCAAGATTGAGCTTTTAACATCGCACGAAATATTCTAATTTCGATGATGTTCCTAATAAGCGCTTTGTGGATGTTCCATGTACATTTTCTCGCTTATTTTCGCTCCTGTACACAATGGGCAGTATTCGAAAGAGGAGTTAATAGTGATGAATAAGCGCAGAGTATAGATTCCTTTACTACGAAAGTTCTAAATAACATACCAATGCGTTGTCTGGTCTTTGCAGTGACGTAGGCTACTTGATCGAGCGAGCAAGAGTATCTCAATCCCAGAAAAGCAACAGTAAAACTTATCGCAAGTCGTTAAACTGCTAGATAGTTTTGTCGCATTCGTAAGATAGCGCAAAACATTTCTGTCGTAAATAACAATCCCCACTTTGAGCAGCACGTTTCGAGGGCGTCGAGCTCGAGCTGGATCATACTGCTAGTTTCGTTTAAGGTAGCAGGGTCATAAGCGAAGATTAAGCTTATTTCGTCGGCAAACGCACATGGCGTTCCGAATTTCACAGCATCAAAAAAGCATACCGCACTATGTATCCGCAAGCACCCCGTGGAGACCAGTGCCAGGCAAATCCGGAACTGGATACAGCCAACTATTTTATATATGTATATATATATATATATATATATATATATATATATATATATATATATATATGTATATATATATGTTGTGGCAGACCTTAGGGAAGAGTAGTCAGTTTCGCAAACTTCGACGGCGATTGACGCGAGAGCTACGTCGCATCGAAAATGCATGGTGGACGGAGAAGGCGAAGCAGATGAAATGCTACGCCGAACGCCGCCAACACAAGGAATTCTTTGACTCCTTGAAGGTGGTGTATGGACCGAGATTGGAGCCGCTGAGGACGCTGCTCGACGATAGATCAGGCGCTAACTGCACAAAGACTGCAGACATAATGCAGATCTGGCAAAAACACTTTCACTGTCTCTTGAACAACCGTTCAGTGAACGACTGGACTACTTTGAATGGCCTCAAGCAGCACGATGTGAAGGCGAGTCTGACGGACACGCCGACACTGGATGAGACGCAGAGGACACTTGCTCAGCTGCGAAACGGCAAGTGTGCAGCCGTCGACGGGATCCCGCCTGAAATATTGAAACACGGCGGACCCGCGTTATTGACTGCGCTGCACCACTTGGTGCAACGTGTATGGATTGAGGAATAGGCGCCTCCTGAGCTGAAGGATGCTCTTGTGCTACCACTGTACAAGGGCAAGGGGAGCAAGCAATGTTGCACGAACTATCGTGGCATCAAATTGCTGAGTTGTGTGGACAAGGTGATTGCCCGAATCCTGCTCCACCGCCTCGTCAGTCAGGTTGTGGAACCTAACGTGGCGGAAGAACAGCGTGGATTCCGTTCGGGTCGCAGCACTATAGATATGATGTTTGGGGCTCGTCAGTTGCAGCAGAAGTGCAGAGAAAGACACCAGCCATTGTACTCGCTTTTTGTTGATTTCACCAAGGCATTTGATACGGTGAATCGCGAGGCATTGTGGCTGGTGTTGGGTAAGTTTGGTTGCCCGCGTAACTTTGTAAGTTTAATTGAATGTCTGCACAGTGGTATGCGAGCGAGGGTGCAGCTGAGTGGAGAGACCTCGGATGACTTTGCAGTTGTCTCTGGTGTGAAGCAAGGCTGTCTTAGCTCCTGCCCTGTTTAATATTTATCTTCATGCAATGATGTCTTGTGCTTTTGGTGCGGCTTGTGCTTACGGTGTTCGTGTGGAGCACCGTATTAATGGTGGGTTGATTACATCCGTCGTTTCGGTGCGAAAACTCTAGTCTGTGAGGCAACTATCCGTATGTTGCTGTTTGCTGACGACTGTGCGTTGTTTGCATACAGCGCGGATGGGTTGCAGCACATGACTAGTGCTCTGGCTTCGACAGCGGCCAAATTCGGGCTCACCATCAACACAAGCAAAACTGTCTGTCTCTTGCAGCCTTCACCGGAGGTGCAATCGTCAATATTGCCCCGAATCAGCATTGGTGCTGAAGTATTGGAAACCACCTCCCGCTTCTCTTACCTTGGGAGAGTGATGTCGACTGATCAGCAGCTACACAGTGAAGTTCGTATCCGCTTGTCGAAGGCAGCGGCGGCAATCGGGAAGCTAGAGTACCGAGTGTGGAACAAACATCAGCTTACCATTGGCACGAAGCTGATGGTGTACAAATCCATGGTGCTCTCCGTTCTTCTATACGGCAGTGAAACGTGGACGATGTACCGTCGGGATGTGCGATATCTCGAGCGGTTCCATCAGCAGTGTTTGCGACGAATTTTGCGCATCAGTTGGGGCGCCAGAGTTGCGGACACGGAAGCGTTGCGACCAAGTGGAGTGTGTGCAGTGGACTGCATACTTTTGCTGAGACAACTGAGTTAGCTCGGCCATGTGAGACGTATAGATTCGACGCGGATACCGAAACAACTCTTATACGATCAGCTAAGTATTGGAAAGCGGCAAGTGGGGCAACCAAAGTTACGTTACCAGGACATGATCAAAGTGAGCCTCACACGTTCTAATCTTGATTGCAGGTCATGGGAATTGAAGGCGATTGATCGGTGTGCATGGCGCGATCTGATCACGAAGGCACTTGCCGAAGTGCGGGAGAAGGTCCTCATACATGCAGAGAAGAAGCGGCAAGTGCGAAAGCGGCAAGCAACGATAGGTTGTACTCCATCGACATCAAGCGCATGGTGCTGTAGCAGTGCGGTCGCGAGTGCCTGAGTCAGGCAGGCTTAGTGAGCCATGAGCGAGGCCACTCGGGACCACTACTGAAACGACGACGGGTCCTGCAGAGAACGTAGGCAGAACCAGCGCAGCGTCTGTAGGTACGCTGAATTCGATTTACTAAGAGCGTGCTTGCATGCTAAGTCTATTTATTTCAGGTGGTGGATTTTCAATTTTGTCCTAATGCTTTTCTTTCTCATATAAATATCTATATTAATGGTGGATGTTTGTGAGAAGTGTAAAGTTCGTAGAAAGTAGAAGTCACGAAGAGAGTGGCTTGTGTCTGTGAGTAACGTTGACGGTGTATTGCAAAAACCTTTCTCGATATGTTCCGCGCGAAGAGCCACCAGTTTGATCCGACTCGATGCAATATCAGTGAACCACTGGACATTTAAAGAAGGAATCCAAGCCAGCCTGTTGAACGGATAAATGATCATGCGACTGGGTCGCATGCCCACCTCCAAACCCATCTGCGATGTGCACTGAAGACATAGCTAGTTAGTGCTGGCAAGGATCACACGAAACTTGTTTACATAGTTGTCGAGAGCGCAGAGGCATTAATTTCAGTCTGCAATAGAATAAGCGAAATGATCAGTAATGCTAGATATATTTGTAGCTCTAGCGATTCAGTGGACCAATACACGAGACCCCGCCTTTGAGTGAACGAGCGGTGTAAGTGGGTACTAACGCACCGCTCAAATGTGTGTATGCCAGCACAAGAAACTGTAATAGTCAAGGTAGATTTAGACAAAAAATGTGTGGCGGAAAAACACAAACCATTACAAGTTAAAAGGATCCCAAATGGCGTGAAAAAATACGTTGCTCGTAACGTGAACATCAACGCGGGCACTAAACCTGCACGCAATTGCACACAAGTCTGGTCTTCTGGAGGAAAAAATACCAGAAACTAACCGACCAATGGACTGGTTCACAGCACGCCATGCCTGCTGGTTGTACCATTTCCGACCGGTTGGAAAACATGCGAAAGCCTTTTCCAACGAAGGTGCCGATTTGTAGGCGCCCACGTCGGCGGTGGCAGAAGCCTGGTTTCGTAACTGAGTCAACTGTTCATCCAGGTAGGCCATTTTCAATCGAACACGCGGGTCGTGGTAAGGAGGATAGGGCAAACCGAGAACAGCCACTCCACGACCAGCGTAGTCGGCCAAATCGAGACCTTCGCTTGCTCGACCACGCATTACGGCGAACAAAGCGGCGCCGTGAGTGTTGGAGGTCGTGGAACCACAAGCCACGTTTCGGTAATCGGTGAACACCTTAGAAGCGAGCAAGTAGGAGATCATGAAGTGCAGCGCTCATGGTACTGCGGTGAAAACAGCGCGGAAGAATTTAAAGGTTGATGAGCTGTAGGCATATGAGAAATGGAAGATTTGGCTCGAAATAAGCTGAATGAATATGGCAGTATCAAGCGGAAAAAAGGAAATAACAATACGAGACGAAAATAATAAAAGAGTAAGTAGAGAAAAACAATCAACCAATGGGCGACGAGACAGGCCTGAAGCGAAGTATTGAAAAAACCTTAGAATCGAAAAGGTTGTGCGTTCGATGAATTCGATGTAGTGCAGCCGAGTCCGGTATGCAAAGTGGTAGCTCGTAAAAGAAGAAAACATGTACCATATAACTAGTGAGTAAGCACCGCTCCATTAACCAAATTCAGATAATAAAGTGACAGCAGCGCTCTGTTGTTACGGCAAAGTAACACTGTCCGAACCTACGCGTCCTAAACTTGTTTCTTTGACCGATGGCATTCCAGTGTCTTCGAAAAGAAGTGCAAGCGCACAGTAACCTACTCGGTCACGCAATGACCAAATGGACAAACCGATTGACCGTGAGCGACACATCTATAACTGTGGATACTGGTGGCGCGTAAGTCCAGTCCTGTATTTATGGCTTAAACCTCGAAAGTGTAAAGTAAATGCCAATGCGTGCAACACTACGGGCTAGCCCATCGGGCAGCGCTTGCATGACAGCTTGGTCTGACGGAAATATAATTGTCATCTACCAGTAAGGGATACCTACTTTGTTCGAAAAAACAATGGGTAGCCGTCAGAGACTTCCACCCATGATGGTGGATGGCCTTTAAGCGAAAAGCCATGTTCCGTTTCAGTAGAGTAAGTCACTGCTGAAACCTTTCGAGAAGGTGAATGTTACACCCGAAGACCTGGGTGGATTCCACTGACCTAACAAACAATCTTGGAACACCAAAAGTCCTGGAATCCATTCCACGTGACTGAGCGTGAAACAGCTGAGCATTCTTTTCAGTCTTTGTCACATTCACAGGTCCCTTAGTTGTGTCTCTGCATCAAACAAATTGGGGCAATAGTTTGATATTTCCAATGACGCTGGTCTTATGTCTCACGGAGCTACGCCTTCCACCAATGCTCCCTGTCAGAGGTAAAGGCTCCTAGCCAAGTGGGGTCTCATTGCCCCAGATACATTGAAACTGGCATTCCGACGGAGCCTGATTGTGTGATTTTTGCACTGCTTATTGAAGGTGGTTCTAATTCGCATTTGATTCGTCCACATGGTTCATCATCAGTGAGAGCTGATATCGCTGATTCGTTAATTGAGAATACAGTTGACGGATAAGAACTCTCAAAGCTGTGGATATAGGCGAGGTAAGAAACGTGAGTGAATATGAGGAAAGTTGAAAAGAACTCGCTTCATGACACGGAATATGCTGCGCGTGGTGTATGGATTGATAATAGTGTGCCTCCACCGCGTATAATGAAGCCATGGGGCTCGAGCGCACGTACGAAAATTAGACCCAACGATGGAAGTGATAGCTGCCCACTAACTCCTGTCAACGAGCTATCAGCACTATGAGACTGGCTGAGGCTGTATTTAAGAGCAAGTAGAAACGGTTCTATGCAACTCTAACGCATTATGAAAAATTACAAACATTTAATTGCGAACCGTCAGCGGTAGTGTTTAGTTATTTATTCGTTTATGCTTGTTCAGTAAGAAATTCGTATTGGTGTCATTATAGGACATATTTTTCTGCATTTTATGTGCACCGTTTCACAAAAACACAGGTTTCCAAAATAATCGTCGATACGGGTTTTGAAACATTTCACATGCAGATGACATAGCCTTTCAAAGTAGAATCTACACACAAACTCGCAAGAACCCCTTCTTTTAACCCTCCTGATCCCCCCAAACTATTACACTCACTATGGACTCATTACCGCGAACCATTTTCTAAAGGATCATACTCAGTCGCAACCCCCTCCGTTGTGGCTACCTACCAATCATTGTTCGACAAAGGTGGCAATACACACCTTGTTTCAAAAATTTTTAGCATGAACACAGACACACGGCTTTAATCCAAAGTTTATAAAGCAACCTAAACAATCTTCATATCGCACAACTATCTTAATATTTTTGAGTAACATTCATTTTCTCCATTCTAAGATCCACATACTACGCTCGTTAGTTTTGGTGAATAATCCTGGCACCATATAACTAAACCTTGGTGCTAAGACGACATGTCTGATGACTAGCTAACCATTTTAGAAGACAGGTTTATGAAGAAATCGGCATTCGTCGAGGTGGAGCCTATGTAATTTACCTGAAAAAATCGTTCGTAGCAGCAACGTTCGAGAGCACAATGCGGAACGACGTTTGGGAATCGCCATGGCTTACTACATCTGTTAGTCCACAGCAGCTGCTTATGAGATGTATATACAGCGCGCCAAACTGCAGTCAAGAGGACCTAGCGCTTGTGACGCTTGCATTTGAATGCGCCGGCAGCCTACCGATTACGGAAGTGGTCTCAATCTGTCTTCGTTTACATGGTCCATGGAAACCACTGCCTTGAAAGTCTAAAACCTTATCCCCTGCATTTAAGTGAATGGCTGGGAGAAACACGTCTCCCAACCTAACATAGGTGAAAATACTCTGATTCTCATTTTTTTTCGCTAGGCATAACTGCTATTAATAATAACGTTCTTGAGTGCGATCACCGAGTGGTCAAATGCTGCTAAGACTACGCATGGCAATGTACAACACCCAATACATTATCACTCGTCCAGTTCCGTCGACTGGAACTCGTTCAAGGGCCCGGATTGTTCGATGAGTTGGGATAAATTCTTTCTCAATGTCCTCAACAAACAACGGATATGTTTTACAACATACTTGGCCTCTGCATCGATTCAACAGTGCCACTAAGATGCACCCACAAGATTAAACATAAACCCGGTCAAAAAGTGTCACTCATAAGATTCGGCGGAAATTCGGTTTAACAGCGAACATTGCGCTACGGCTCCCGCAGTCAAAGATCAGCGAAGAACTGAAGCATCACAATGACAGAACTCTCATCCTTGCAAAACAATCGAACTATCTAAACTGTTCCGTGTACTGGGTTCGTGTCGTAGTAACTCAATTTTATCATCAAGCTTAATGGAACATATTTCGATGTACTAGATGATACTTGTGAAGCTTTCAGTGCTTATGTTGCTGAATCAATGGTTAATAAACCATCGGACATTCCAGTGCTTGTCGCCCGCACATCGGTGTAGGTACAGTTGATTGCACTAGCGCAGAAATCACTAGCCAAATCTTTCGCCTATGCTCCTAGACCTACGCAGGGCCTGATGGTATCCCTCCCTGCTTACTAAAAAGCGGTGGAGACGACTAGCCTCAGCTCTTGCTCAAGATATTTGCGCTCTCCTTTAACAAGTGAATGGTGGACTTCCGTCACTGTCCCGCGACACAAAAATGGAGCCGCTCACGAGGTTAGAACTTTCACCCCATCAATAACACATCCACCGTATCTAGAATAATGGCAAAAAAGTAAAATATGAACTATGTCATCTTAAATAAGTCAAACATCAGCAGTAAGTCGCTGCAAAGTTTCAGTAAAAGTTGAACCTGTGCAACAAGCCATTAGGACTACGTAAACCATACAAAACCTGGAGACGCAAAAAGCCTTTGATAGTGCTCATCGGAGCTTACTAAACAACTTAAAGGCAATAGGCATTCGAGAGCCGATGTTTTCTTGGATGTCCTCATATCTAGTTGACGCGTATTAGTGGCGCGTGTAAGTGATTATTCCTTTGGATAGAAAGCAGTCATCAGTAGAGTCATGATGAAATCGACTAGCACATGATGATAAAATAGAGTGTACAAAGGCCATTGTACCGTAAACTCCGTAAAATGAGGATGAGCCTGATAGCAGTGTATTGGTCCCTTCCATCTTCTGTGCTTCGCCTTGGGTAATCGTACAGTAGGCATGTGAGTCGTACTCTAACATTGATCTCAGGACGAAGAATAGGCGAGTGGCAACCCCTTCCGGCCAAAGATAGGAGATGATATTTGGCGTCCAAGACATGCGCAGTCCGTTTCGTTGTAACTTATTCGTGTTGTCTATGTCTAGTTCATTCACAGGTGTATGAGGTGGCTGTTGGCCGTGGAGGGTGCAGATTGGCCCATCACCGCCCCAGGCTCATGAATATGAAGTTAGCTGGGACAAACAGGAGGCGAACTTTTGCAGGCCACATGCAGAGGAGGCGGAGGTCTTGCTGAAGTAGGGAGCAGTCACCGGGAGTAAGAACCATTGCTCACCTCCGCAGGTCGTCCGTAAACAAGGCACACAGCGACCGGAGAAGCTGAGAAACATTGTTGTTGAAGATTCGGAACAGAGTAGGCCCAAGCAATGTGGCCTGAAGTAAGACACTAGTCAAACAATAATGGTCGGTCAGTTGCCATCGAGTTGCATAGCTCACTTTCGCCAACGAGGAACTCCAGAATCCACCAATGTAATAAGCCACATAGACCAAGCACTCAGTCTGTGGAAAAAAAACTTTTTGCGCCAAGAAAGCAGTAGTAAAGGAAGGGTGTTCATCAGTACACAGTACACGCATGACAGACAGCACACAGCTCAGCGATCAGAAGCGTTCCACACAGCCAATGAGAAGTGAGTAAAGCACACTGGCTTCCGACAGCGTCATGGTGGTCACAACAGACCACATCGTCTAACTTGTCTAGTGCTTTGCCTAGGTTAGTGTAGAGCACGTCGACAGACTTCCACGGTTTCATTAGCTGAAACAATTCATACCTCGTCACGAGCAGATTGGTGATGTATGAGAAGCATAGCATGAAACCGTGTTGTGGTATGCGAGCACGCACGGTGGCAAGGTCAGAGATAATGTTGCGTTGAATTGTGTGGTCAACTTGGGGCTGGCGCAAAGTGTGGATCGCCGGCCGTAATGTAACTCGGGGTATAGGCTGCTGACAGGCTGACGCTGTGATGCGCGCATAGCTGAAGAAAACGTTAGCTGTTGTTAATAGAAGCATGAACGCGAAAAAATCCCCACGGCCATAGCAAGCCATCAGTCTAATCTCTCCGTGATGCCGATGAGCATCATTCTTCCCAGATTAGACAATCCAAACAAACAGCAAGTGCGTCAGTAAAGATTGATTCACTTCGATTAGTGAGTGAGGTACCAAAGCATCCTGTGGTGTGAACGGCTTCTACCCTTTTGGTGCAAAGATTCAATGGTCAACACTGCGGTTGGCCCTCCTCTGATGTACAGTTGTATGCTAACATTACATCGAAACGTCTTAAGTGACACTTTGTGCGGAACATCACAGGTGGACTAATTTAAAAGGTGAGATATACCGGGCACTTCAACAGTACAGGGTGCAAAAATTACCATAAGATTTTCGTGTATTCCAAACATCTCCAACTCAATCACTGATTGCACGAGCGTTTGCGGTGGATCTCACAAGTCACCGCAAATGCATTTGAACCTAAGACAGTGAAAGGATCATTCCATGCAAAAAACTCTTCGCTGATTCATTAGTGCTCCTGTTGAATCCAAACTGACCTCGCCGATTCAATCATGCGCTGCAAATGAACGTTAGCTGGTCACCTCTGCGCGTACTACCTGCCACGCAGAACACCCATACGCCAGAGAACATGCAAGAACTCTAATAAGAGGGTCAATTTTGGATTACACGTTGTGTGATTGGATGGCGAAGCGCAATCTCAATGTGGACCGCGATTCACATTGCAGTGAACCTTGGTCACTTCGATCATGAGGGCCGTAGCCGAAGCAGATGGAAATCGGATGTTTACCGCCCGAAAACTCTGCACAACCTCGACGCGTTTCGATGTCATTACATCCCAACAGGTGAAGATAGAAGGTCTCGAACCGGCGACCATTGGAATAGCAGCCAAAACCTCGAACCCTTTGGCCACCGAGCGGGAAACACCCAATTTCGATCTGCTTCGGCTACGGTCCTCATGATCGCAGTGACCAAGATTCACTGCAACGTGAATCGCGGTCCACATTGAGATTGCGCGGCGCAACCCAATCACACAATGTGTAATCCAAAATTGACCCTCCAATTAGTCATTCACCGTTGTGACAAGCGTTGCCCGTCATGAGCAGGTGGCCATAGAGGTAGAGGTTTCGGTTTCTATTCCAATAGTCGCTGGTTCGAGGCCTGCTATCCCCGCCTGATAAGATGAAATGACATGGAAAAGCCTCATGGTTGTGCAGTGTTTTCGGGCGGACAACACCCAATTTCCAGATGCAAGAACTCTATTTCGCGAAGTCACCATCTATTAAATTCAGAACTAGTGGATAGCATGGAAAGTTTCACTAGCTTTGTCGAATGCTAAACGATTTGAGCATGGTTGAGCGCGTAGCGGCACAGCAACTGGTGCAGTATGTACCCCGTCTTATCGTCGTAGCCGGCTAAGCCTGAGTAATGCATGAGTACGGTCCCAGACGCGACGCCAATCCCTGGCGACACGATGCGAATAATAACGGGGCAACTGTGGTGGTAGCTGTTCGTGTTGACAAACAGAATCGGGGGAGGTTCGTGATTGGTCGATCATAGCTCGAGTGGGTACCGTACTGTATAAGCCAAACGGTCAAATAGCTCCATTGATGAATATGTTAGGCTTTCCAACCGAGGCACCCGCAACCGCATTATCAGAAATTATATCCAAATCGCCTCAATGGAGCATAGTGTGCCAGAAAAATAGCACGTTACTTTGATGGTGAATAGGTAACTGACCGACGCCGAGGTTGTTCTTAATGGCTGTTCGCTGAGCTTGGCAATTTTGTTGCACTGATGATGTCACCTCGATTGGTGACGAAACGTTTGCAACAAAATTGCCAAGCTCAGCGAACAGTTCAACAGTCATCTGAACAACCTGAGCTACCAGTCTTCAATTCTATAGCCAACTGTTCTTAAGGTTTAGATGGTCACACTACATAGTAAGCCCGCCACGCGACACCATTTCGACTACCGGGTCTGGGAAAACATTATTATCAATAGTCATACATCAGCCATTTGAACTGATGCTTCGCTGCTGTATAACCATGATGACCAACAGAGCAAATAATAAAAATACGAAAAAAGGAAGAGGGATTTGGAATAAAACTTTGACGCCCAAAACAAACAGTCAGGGTCAGAGCATCTACTACTCGTCAACAACATACTGCCACAAACAGTTGATTGGGAAAACACCAATGCAGGAGATCACACCCTGATGCTAGAGCTCGAGAATGGTTTCGAAATTGGGCAAAAACAAGCACCTGTCCTATGTACATATGCAACGTAAGTTCTCTCAGTCATGTTTCCAGTTATACAATAACAGAACAAGCGTTAAGATTTGAGGAAAACCTAATTACCCTTGTTAACGCAAGTAGGATTAGTTTTTAATTTCCTTCATATGTGCTCCATGAGCAGAATTTCACTAGCAGGACACGGCACAATCTTTGCCGTTAAAGTAGTTAACCGAGCAGCTCGGTGTCCTTGAGGTAGTAGCACATTGTCGACACCACCCTGAGCAGTTCTTTCATGGCGATTCGACACCACTCGATCGCAGCTAATCGGGCAAGTGATCGACAAGAAAGAGGTATTTAACTGGTGAAAGTTTTCACCATGTTCCTATCAACCTGATTGTTCGGGAATTTCATCTAAAGCCGCACTCTAATATTATATACTCAGCACTGCCTCTGCCAGTAAGGAATGGAACGTTATAAGCTCAGTGGAGAAAGTAGTATAAAAGATTGCCGTGCATATCAAGCTGAAGTTGGAATAGGCTTTGCAGACTCGAGTGGATGTATTCTCAACACACACACACACACACAGGCATTTGAGAATTGCCAAAAACAGGGCACTCATCAAAAGTATGATAATTAACGATGTACCATACGTGTGAAACGGTCAATCAAACAAACAGTTGCGCACAGTGAGCATTAAGTTTAATTGAGTCGGCAATTAGGCGTGGCAGGCACCGAAAGGTGGTACTACGATACGGCGAAGCGTGACACAGTAATATCACAAAGTTAACCTCGAAAAATAAAAATATAAGTCTTGATAAGTCATTTTTTAAGATGTGGAAAGGGTGATTTAGAAACATAGAGGAAAAACCGATGCGCGCTTTAAAAGACCTGCTAAAAGTAATCAGAGTATCTGTAGGGAATCCACACTTCCTAGAAATGCGACCCACCAATCACACAAACAATGAATGGTACAGTTGAGAAAGATCGAGGAACATAAGGGTAGAATAGCATGCCCCATGCGGAGAGAATGCGTGTAGGCACAAATACAATGTTTCACAAATGTGTGTGCACCACGATGAAATTCGGAACAAAAAGGAGATACTTGGCCATAGAACGGCTAGGTATGATGGCAAAGCTATACTTAAAAGGTCATAATTAACATGGAGTGTGGAAAAATGTTCACCGTAAAATAGTTCACCGCAAATATGGGTGAGTTCCGTTCACAGAATAGTTCAAGCAGCATTGGTCTGCGGAGTATTTCAAGAACGTCTAAAACGCCAACGAAGCCTTAGGGCCCTAAACTTTGCATATTATGTAGACTTTACGCACTGTGCGAAGCGGCATCCAGTGGACCTTGTTGAGGTTCACAGGAAAATGTAGTTCCATACGGAAGAGTTAGCCGATTGAGGGCAAAAATGGAAGCGGGTAGCATGCGAGCCTAAACGTACCTTGGAGAACTGCATCTTGTCTCGCGGTTCCACAAAAAGGCGCTTACATTGGGACATTTGGTCCTCCAGGCCAGTGTTCTGAAATAGAAGAGAACGCATCAGGACATCCGGAAACGTTCGAAAGGAGTTTGCGAAACTTGTAGCCACCGAACTTATGAAAAGAAATCAACCATCTCGGTTTTGTCAACGCCTAGTGACCGCCGATTCGTACTTTGACAGTAAAATTAATAAGAGTCAGTGAAACTGTCTGCATCAAGTCGATCGGACAATTGTCCGCACGGTGTGCGAGATTCCTCCTCATAAAAATCGGTTTAGTAGCGATAAAAGTGAACCTGTCACATTCCAATGCAACCAGCCGATCGATCGGTGTCGATATATCCGTAGCCGAGTAGAGAATTCGCAGTATAACAGGGGTGCGTTCGTTCGTTATTGTAGAGATCACAAGACGCCAGCCAATGGCATGCAGAAGCATCTGAGACATTAGCTAACAGGTAGCAACGTGGAGCCTGTTCGCTGGCTGGATTGACCACAGACTGGGAAGATGAAATCAGAGTGTTGTAACGTTTGCTTTTTCCATCTGCTCTCTGCCACTGACAACTGTTGTACTGCTTGCTTTGCTGCCCTGTGAGAGTGCGACTGTCTGACTGTTCAGCCGAACGTCTAGCCAATCGAAGGAAAACAAAAGGCCAGAGTATATCTACAGGATAGGTATTGGTAAAAGAAACATGCTAATTTAGGAGGTCAAGATCCCTCACTGTTCTGCGTCTGGTTTTCAGCAAAAGTGAGTGAATTCCGCTCCACGAGTTTAATATATTGACAGAATAGTTCGATTCGTTTGATGCGGCTGGTAATAGCTGGCTAATCGATTGTCATTCGACTCCCAAATTCAGCGGAAAGGTTAAAGGTCGCAGCACGCCCGTGCTAATGGCCTTTGTATGTAGCGGACAGCGTACGCACAGATAAGCCATATATATATATATATATATATATATATATATATATATTAAATTGAGAAAGAAAGACTGAACGGCTATGGAAATGTCCAACGATCATTTACTAAGCTGCTCATTGGGCGCTGCTCAAACCTGATTATTATGATCGCTGTCGAAAACTCCAACTGGATCCACTTTGGCTGAGACGATTAAAGAACAACCTCGTTCTCTTCTACAACATTATAAACCAACGAATGTATGCAGACAGCACCACACTTGAACTACGTAAGACTGCAGTCTACCGCACACGTAATGGTGGCTACTTGATACGTACAAACCTTTCAAGTCATAAAACTCGGTCGAATTTCTTCTTAGTGAGATACACTGATCTGTGGAACAAACTACCCCTACAGATACGCATGTGTACAAGCCATGTTACGTTTCGAAATCTCCTTCAGACCTTCCTCACTATACCAAATGCTTTGAAGATCTTTGACTCACAGCAAACTCCAGAAACATTGACAGAAACCGGTATAAAAAATATATGAGCAGATATTCCCTTACAACTAGCTTACTCACTACATATCATTACCTACAATATCAAATCCTGTGTCTGTGCGGCATAGTACCCTTCCCTTTTATTATCTAATCCTGAGCCACACAAACTAGAAAATGATGATACAAATAACGGTAAATTTCACTTATTAGGTGCTCGGGTCTAGGACCCGAGGAAAAAAAACATTATCCGAAATTCTATCATTTAATTTTCCTTTACTATTATGATTTACGCCGCATAAACCATGAAACCTATCCACTATACAAATGATCGCTCCCGCTTATGGGGCCGTGTACCGTTTTTCAGTAAACATACAAATTTATTTATCTAATACGGCTAATAGTACAATTGGCACAGAGCCACAACGTATGGAAAAACAATAAACATATGAAGACAGAAGGGAAAAAACCGGTGTTCATGGGAATAATAGTCACAACTAGTCCGCCATTGTGCACGATTTCTTGCCATATCCGAGGTGTTTCCAGCGTTGTGTGTTCCGGATCCTTCACACTCCAGCCAGGGAGCCGAAAGCGCCCGACCGCAGCTAACTTTGACGTTAGCTCCTTTATGCTCCTGGCCCAAGTCATATGATGGCCACCTTGCTTTCGCTTCCAGCCGAGTACTGCGTGCACGAAGTGGGCACGGTGAGGTAAGCGATGAGTAGGCATGCGGCGAACATGCCCAAGCCATTGAAGTCTGCGCAGAGAAATTATACTGCCCAGTGGTCAGCAAAGCCTGTCGATCTGAAAATCCTTCGAATATCTTCATTCCTAGTGTGATATTGTCATCGTACACCAGCACTGCTCCGAAGGTAGCGGTGATCAAAAACAGACAATTAAACATTCTTTGCGCGAACAGGCCAAATCTCGCAGCCATAGAGGAGAACCGCTCTCACTGTGGCATTGTAAACTCGGCCCTTCAGAGATAGACTCAGATCGCCTCAATGCCAGAGATGGTGAAGATTGGAAAAAGCCACCCGAGCCTTGGAGACGCGCAAAGAGACATCATCCGTTAAACTAGATAAATTATACCAGAGATAGACACAAATAATGTCTCAAAAAGATACTGCTCAGCGAAGACCGGGTAGAAACGGCAACAGTGGACTCGGGTCGTAAAAATGTGTGCATCTCCGAACGACATTACGGACTGTCTAAGAGGAGGGATGAATAGAGAGAGGGGGTTCAACAGAATCGGGAAGAAATGTACAACTGGTCGAAGGAAGTGAATGTTGATGGTATGATAAGACAGCAAAACCGAATGTGCCTGAGGTTGTGGAGATCAACCAGGAGAAAATCGGATGGCGCTGTAACCGAAACTCCGTCTCGTGCAAAGAATGCGCGACGTTACAGCGGAACAGGAGCAAGGAACTGAAAAAAGAGGCCAACAAAAGTGGTGCCAAAAGTCACCAAGTAGAGCTACACAGCAAAGATGCCTTCAAAAGGTTACGGCAAAAGTCTGACGACACTTGATCATCTCAACAGTAGCGTACTGAAAGCACATCACTGTCCGAGTTGGTAGTGAACGGTCAGAGTTGAGACACGTCAAGCTGCCAGTTCACACCTACGCTGATTGCCCCGTTGTAGCAGGCGAAGTGTCGCTAAAGCCCGCGTGCCAAAGTAGATGGCAGAATAGAGGAGTGGGTCGTGTCAGCAGACACAGCGACCAGTGGACAGGAGGAGAATTGCACATTCAAACCCAGACCAGGAAGATAAAATCGTGTCATCCGAAGCCCCTTGCAGGTAGTATAAATGGGTGACATTGAATCGATACCGCGCACTGCGATGAGGAAAAATCGGTGGCAGAAAATGGTTATCGAGGATCAGATAGGTGCCACTGTACTTGTTATTCAGGTGTTCATGCGCTCGCCAAACTTGTTAACGGAGTTGCGCATCGACAGTGACCAGACAAATCGAAAGCACGGGGAAAGTAACCAAGCACATTGAAAACCCCTGGTATGGATCAGCCTGAATGACTACATCCATTAAGTATTGGGTGCGCCAATGAGTTTCTAAAACCCCCGCGTCGCAACAGCAGTACTAGGAGCAACCATAACCTAGTAAAACAGCCAAGAGCTGACTGAGAAGCTGTCTCAAACTGGCGGAACCACCGGGTAGAATGTAGATGAAAGTTCTTTTCTCTACGTGCTAGCAACGTATGAAACACGTTCCCAGAATTTGTTATTTCATTAACTACATTGTCTATGTTCAAAGACCATGTAGACAGTGAGTTGGCCGCATTACACTGCATTATATAACAGAGATTCAAAAAAAGAAATCGTAGCAACCGCGATCGTTTCAATGGGAAAACGGAAGCCAATAGTCTTGAAACTTGCATAGAACCATGCACTAACGACTCGGCTTGACACATGCTTGATCGTAAAAATTACCGTCAATGGCTGCTCAGTGCTTATAGCTGTTTTTCGTTTTCCTTTTGGAACCCCCGATCGAATATCCACTGAGAGACCAGAAAGCATTAAGTTGTGGCTCACCTTCCACGCGTCTATGCATTGTGTCATCATCATGTACGAGGGAAAGAAGACCAGAAGTCCGTTAGGGACGACCTTCATTAAATCCACTGCAAAGTACGAATAAACAAAAAAGTGCTAGTTAAAGGTGAACAAGCACTTATGCTTTTCAAGCGAACACAAGAAACGAATTAATAAAGAATGGATAGTCTGCGTGCACAATGAAAATCAGCTGTGAGTACATTGCGATATCTAAAAGTGATACAAATGTCGTTCACATGCACGCGCTGAAAATGCCCATACCACAGGAACTAAAATAGGTCTGCGTTTTTGTACAAGAGAAAATCCGTAGGGACTGTTGATAAGGCAGCTGGTGGAGGAGGCGGAATTTGGCATACAAAAACAAAAATACTCACCAACTGTTTTCCTAATCGAGAAAACATTCTGTAACACAAAATAGCGATTAAAATAGTTATCCAATTTAGCGGGCTCGTTCACCTGATTGTATCAACATACGTGAGCACGGACCGCAGTTGTCATAACATTAGCATCGAAGCCGACTCACATTCTATCAGTATGCAAACCACTAATGCGACTAGTGAGGAAATATAAGTGTCAGACAAGGCGGTGGCCACGTTGTGCTCTTCCCATATACACTGCAAGCCATAGCAAAAAGGCATCAGCAGTACACCGGTACGCAGTACTGACGCTTCGCTGCAGAGCAACGAGTCGCATGCGGGCTAAGGGTATAGCGAGGGTCACCCGGTCCCTACGCAGGCTCAAACCTACATCTGCAGATTATAAGGGAGTTTGGGTTCCTTAAAGCCATGAGCCGGTTGGAGAGAGGGGCGCTTTGGATTCAAGTATTCCTGAGGTTGGGGCGATGGGTATTCATGTTAGTTATGCATAGATGGCCATTAGGGTCCGGGGAATACCATTCTGGTTGCGAATTCAGAGGCGCTTGTAGTTTTTGCAATACATGAACAAACACCTGTGGCCATGGGCTAATCGCTGCTAAGATAGGCGAATGGAACAACTATATCCGGTTGATAGCTTCAAAGGCTAAAAGTTCGATCAGATAGCTAGTTGAAATGCAATGGCACTCCAGAGTTAGTCAACAGTTGAGTACGTCATTCTGTAATAAACAAAATGCAAGAGGACATTATATGCACAATCCAGAGCGATCAGGTTTCACTCCTTTAATGTAATCACACCCGTTGGGGAACAATGACGGTGAAAATGAGTGGCACGATAAACTGAACTCCATTTGGCTTAACAGTTCTTCGTAGGCGTGGATCAGCTGTTACTTGTGTGGGAATGTAGCGAGCAAAATGTTCACATACCAAGAACAACAACCTGGTTAAGTAAAGCGAGTAGAACAAAAGGGTGAGATAACCTGGTGATGTTGTGACACCAGTGACACCAAATCAAAGTAGTGCACCATGACAACAAGCAACACACATGAACTCACACAAAGTGTGCCCGAGTGCTTTTCGATAGCCAGGCTTTTCACGGCTAGCGTAGCTGGAGTTCAAAGCTTCACCGTCTTTCCCCCGAGTAATGACGGCTAATCGCACTTGCTCTTGTGTGATCACGTGGGGATTTTGCAAGGTAATGGGGAAGTGCCTAGGTGAAAAAGAGTCGAGTAAAAACGACGCCATCGAATTACTCATTTTAATTTGGCACATGAAAAAATAACGGGGAAGCAGTAAATAGGTCTAATTAATTGTAGAAGTCGGCATCCGAAATAAACCGTAGTGAATCAACGACTTACATTCGTAGTTCGGCCTGAATCGGTTCAATGGGGTAAAGGGTGCCGCTGGTAAGAATTACGCATCGCACCTGCTCTCGAATCAAATCTTGCATAGCCCTGAGAAATAGAATGAGATATGATATTAATAGAGAAGGAAATCAGCAATAACAAGCAATCAGCTCTGATTGCGTTACGGACGGTATCGAAAACAGAACAGGAATGGAATCAAAATACGTATGTAAAAGTAGTTGACATAATGGGTTGCTGTAAGAATCAGTCAATCGACAGAATGAACGTAAAGCGCAACTGGTAGCGACGGAGATAATGTACGTCAACCATATACCACTGCATACAGATCATATTGTGGGACAGTTGTGTACAAGAATCTTGGAATGTACAAGACACATGTCAGGGCTGACAAGGAAAGAGCATGCGTACAGAACTTAACGAAGACTCCGTGGTAGTAGAGTGCAGTAGAGACATGATGGGAAGTTCATTTATAAAATCTTGAAAGCATCAAGAAGAGGTAGTAGGCAATATTAGCAATTGCCCCAAGTGTACAGACTGATCAGTCTCTTCTCAGTGTGCTCAATAATGTACATCCCAATGCCCATTTCACCTGTGAGCTAGAAGGCAACAATTGGCTTGCTTTTCTGCATCTATTGTTGACAGGACGAAATGATGGCGCAATAAAACGCTCAGTTTACAGGAAAACCACATGGACTGGCCCATATGAGAACTTCAACAGGCTCATGCCGGTCCAATATAAGCGTTGCCTTTGTCAAGACGTTGTTCGACTGAGCCCGTAGAATATGCAGTGCCGACTGTGTGGAGCCGGAATTATCGTTCATCACGGACATTACGGGCCAATGGACATCCAGAAGCATTCATCAGATTTAAGTCACCTGAAGGAAAGCAAACGAAGAGTACTTACTGTGCCCAAAATGATGGTCTATTGGCAGCTACTCCTTAAAGACAATGTGGTGATGGCACAATTGAAGGACGGGTGAACACAGCTATTCGTCGTAGATACAACGCTGCCAAACTCTGTAATATATATGGACAACGACAAAGTTGCCGATGCCTCCAAACAAACCTACTCAACCGGTTTCGGGCACAACTCATTGCATTTACAAATTCGTCTGTTGCAGCGGAAGCAGTTACATTGACAGAACAAATCGTTGTCTGAGTAAGCGGATTGGAGAGCTTATTCCGAACCGAATTGCTGGGCTGATGGCACAACAGGCAACCGGACCAGGAGTAACAGGCACTATCCATCGCTAGACACCTAATCAGTACTGGTCATAAGGTTGACCCTGGCTCAGCTTTTACGATTGTCTACGAAAATGAAAAGGCAATGTTGCTGAAGTGTGCCGAGCCGGTGACCCTTAATCTCTACGGCCCCACTCTTTGAGTACAAACGCAACTGACAGTATTCCTTAAGCTATCTTTGCCCCAGCTAAACCAGCTGCTGTTTGGTGTCTTTGTGCAGTTGACTCTGATCAATTCAAGACGCTCGTTAACTTCTTTCAAGTGATAAATGTATGTTGTTAGTTTGCAAGTGATCAGATAACACGAAATGGTGCTATCTTGCAGTGATCGTCTTCCTATTGTTTTGTTCAGAACATTACAAATGCAAGTGTCGGATGGCCAGTTTAACGAGCGTCGGTAGATTGATAAGGGCTTATAGTGTATGAGGAACCCAACCACAATCGGGGTCTCACGCGCCAACACAATGGGTGGCGTGGACAAATTCCACTTCTGAAACAATAAGAGAGAAAATTTCATCGTCACCAAATGGTCACCAAATGGTCCCCACATCTCAGCTCATGTTTGTGATAACATTTCACGTTAACGATACGCCGCAACTACTGTTTGTCTGATTCCACTTCCAGCTCTCTAACAAAAGTATACGAACGAAGACGACATCGATAGCGAAGTGAGGTGATGGGGGAAGAAACACGGATAATAGCATCAATTACATGTAAACTCTATTGGCCTGACGGGCTTTAAAATCAAAGACGCAGTATTGTCCAACATGTGAACTAAGCAAAAGCTAGTAGGCATTTTGAAAGGAGCTAAAAAACGATCGTTTAGAAGAGGTGTTATCAAACGTATATCACAGCGGGATGGAAAACTAAAACTTGCGCAGATGGCATGACAGAAAAGATCGCTAGAGTCGGCCGCATACTCATTAAGCATAAAATTGCAAGCCAGAACGAAAATTAAAGAAAAACGACAAAGAAAACGCGGCACCTATTGTCCACGTTTCGTACCACATTATCATCGGTGAATGGCTGAATGAAGGGGTTTAAAAAAACAAAAATATAATTAGCAAAAAAGTCAAAATATTTAAGAAGTACCAAATTAAAGGAAGACGGAGGGTTATTAGCGGAAACACGGCTCAACAAAAGCAGAGGAAAAAGTTATGGTGCCCTCAGTAATAGAACATATCATAACAACCATATATATATATATATATATATATATATATATATATATTATATATATACGGAGAGAGAGTGGTGCGCTGAGACTGATGTTGGCTAGATCCTGATAGATGGTCTACCCATTGCTGCTACTGTTGCGCCATTGACCCATGTCCTGCGCGCCTCCTCGTGCCGACCGCTGGGTGGGAGCTGGGTTACGCCCTTCACCTTGTTAACATCCAGGACACCAATGCGCATGAGTCAGTGAATCGACCATGTGCTAGACCCGCTGCCTTTCGGGTGTTCATTTAATCGAAGGCTTTGGCTGAGGACCCGAGTCGTTCTCCTGTCAGGATTGGGCGCCCTGGCAGTATCCTAGTCCATCCTCTTCGGAGGTTAGGAAGTGGTCGATGGCCCACTTCCCGTAAAACCTAGCCATGGGAGACAACAGGTTACGGGTTATATTCTCACAGCTCGATTGGCGTAGAGCACGAGTGCCACGCATTGTCTCTGACGGTGGGAGGACACCTCCGGGTGTTCAATGGTTTGCTACTGCCCGCCTCAAGCCAGGCAGCCCCTGGTCAAATTGGTGCAAACCCGCCAAAAACCCACCTGCGTCTGGCCGTGGTCGCAGGTGCGTATCCAATTACGGTCGCAAAACATATGATAACTGTTCCAGAACCTCAAAGGCTGCGTGTGACGGCCGTCAAGCAGATCCCAATCTGTCTCTGCAATCACATTCCCGAGCTGGATCTGCTCTCCACTGCCTTGTGGGTCAGGCTATTGAGCCAAAGGCTCCGGGCGGAGTCCCTCAAGCAAACCTCCAAACCACCCACTGCCTTGTGGGTCAGGCTATTGAGCCAAAGGCTCCGGGTGGAGTCCCTCAAGCAAACCTCCAAACCACCCACTGCCTTGTGGGTCAGGCTATTGAGCCAAAGGCTCCGGGTGGAGTCCCTCAAGCAAACCTCCGAAGCACAACGACCACCTCGCGTGCGATTGCCCACCAATGCAATCGTATGCCTGCGCGCAAAGCACTCAGCATCGGGTGCTGGAACGTGCGCACACTACTGGACCGGAACTCCAGCGAGCGCCCGGAGCGACGCACTGCACTGGTCGCAATGGAGCTGGCGCGCTACCACATCGATATTGCGGCGCTCAGTGAAACTCGGCTCGCTGAGCAAGGTAAGTTACATGAAGCAGGTGCTGGCTACACATTCTACTGGGTGGGCAACGCCGCCTCAGCACCACGTGAACATGGGGTCGGATTTGCAATATCCGATCGCCTACAAGGCTAGCTGGTGGGTGAACCAACGGGCATCAGCGCGCGACTGATGACTGTTCGCCTACGACTCGGAAGAGGTAAGTTTGCTACTTTTATAAGCACGTACGGTCCGACCATGTGTTATCCTGATGACACGCGTGATCAGTTCTACACTGAGCTATCCTCCGTGATACGGTCTGTGCCGAGGAGCGACCGACTATTTCTGCTGGGTGATTTCAACGCGCGCGTTGGGCGTGATGCATCAGCGTGGACAGATGTTATCGGTGCGCATGGCATTGGTTCAGCGAATGCGAACGGTGACAGGCTGCTCTCACTGTGTGCCACTCACGGCCTGACGATCACGAACACTCGGTTTGCACTGAGTGCGAGTGATATAGCAACTTGGACGCACCCACGGAGTGGTCACGCTCACCTGCTCGACTATGTCATCGTACGTCAGCGTGATATGCGTGAAGTGCGCATGACACGTGTACTGCGTGGAGCTGAGTGTGGCACTGATCACAAATTGGTTCGGACCAAACTGTACATATATTTTCGTAAATCTATGTATTGCACTCCCGCCGTGAATCGGCGTAAATTTAACATTCTCTCCCTCGGTACTGTGGCGAAACGTACTGAGCTGGAGAAGGCGATGGCTGCACGCCTGTGTGGTGATGTGGACTGCATAGCCACAGTGGGCGACCTGTGGCACCACATTCGCGACCAGGTGACAGCTGCTGCCGAGGAGACCATCGGGCGCGCAAACTGTAAGCGGCCTGATTGGTTTGATGACAACAATGTGACGATTGACGCATTGGTGTCAGAGAAGAATGCAGCATTTGCTGCACATGTGGCAGACCCCAGTGACTTGGGGAAGAGTAGTCAGTTTCGCAAACTTCGACGGCGACTGACCCGAGAGCTCCGTCGCATTAAAAATGCATGGTGGACGGAGAAGGCGAAGCAGATGGAATGCTACGCCGAACGCCGCCAACACAAGGAATTCTTTGACTCCTTGAAGGCGGTGTATGGACCGAGATTGGAGCCGCTGAGGACACTGATCGATGGTAGTTCAGGCGCTACCTGCACCCAGACTGCAGACATAATGCAGGTCTGGCGGAAACACTTTGACTGTCTCTTGAACAACCGTTCAGAGATCGACTGGCCTACATTGAACGGCCTGAAGCAGCACGATGTGAAGGCGGATCTGGCGGATACGCCGACACTGGATGAGACGCAGAGAGCACTTGCTCAGCTGCGAAACGGCAAATGTGCCGGAGGTGACGGGATCCCGCCTGAAGTATTGAAACACGGTGGACCCGCGTTGTTGACTGCGCTGCACCACTTGGTGCAACGCGTGTGGATTGAGGAGGAGGTGCCTCCTGAGCTGAAGGATGCCCTTGTGCTACCACTGTACAAGGGCAAAGGTA